TGTATTATATTACTGGTAGAACTTGTCAGCATATAATGATAAATAAATATGTGATTGAATGTGTATTTTAGAAACAGTTATTACATCCTCCAAATGCATGGCTCCAGACATGATCCAAGGAAGGAACAGAGGAGTGGATGGTGCCATGCATTTGGAGAATTTGAAATGCAGTGTTTTCTTTTTGCCATCATTATTTGCAGTTTGTGTAAAACAGATTTTCATGTTCCCAGTACCAGTGTGTAGATTTATTTACCAGGTGAATTGTGTATTACAAAATGTGTGATTTCAATTAGACCATATCACTGATTTTTTTTGTTTTTTTTTGTTTTGGAGATTTGGAATTTTAAAAGATTGTTTTGTTTTGAGAATAATATGCACTTGTTTACTTACCCAATATTAAATTTGAATATTTGAAACAAAACTGAATTTAATGAAATTATAAGGAAATGCAGTATTTGAATGTCATAAACAGCTGGAAGATACAAGTAGAATAAACATAATACTGTACTCTGGGTATTTTTCACGTGAGATTTAGTTTCGTGCTTTTCGTGATCGTGGTAAAATCGCAAAAATTAATCTTCGCGAAATTGTCAATTAAATCCCCGTTGATTTGTGAAATTTCTTGTTACCTGGGACTCCATTGCATTTCGTGTTTTGTAAAATGTTTGTCAAGTGTTTTTAGGCGATAAATGGGATACTAAGTAACAATGTCTGTTACAGTGGCTTATTATATCAAATAAACAAAAAATTTACGATGTAATAGAGGTTAAGGTGCGTGTCGTTGACCAATATGACATAGTAGTGGGTGTACTTAGTGAAATTCGCAAAATTTAATAGCCATGATATTGCGTTTTCTCAAAATTCGCGAAATTAAAACTTGCGAAATAAATGGAATACAGTATTATTATTATTTTAAGGCCATGTGATGTTTATTATTAGCTCACATGGTGAGCTTTTGCAATCACTCACTTGTCCGTCTGTCTGTCCGTCTGTCTGTCCGTCTGTCTGTCTGTCCGTCAACAATAGTGGCACGTTTTAAAACCTCTGTCGATAGGATTCCTGTTTTAAGTTATTTCTGTTCAACATCAAAACAGAAAACCCCCCTATGACTCCTGGTTCAAAAGCTCGCCTATTTTCAAAATGGCCGTCACTTTTGTCTCGCGAAATTCACTTTTAGCCCATTTCCTAGCTAACCTCTGTCGATAGGATTCCTGTTTTAAGTTAATTCTGTTCAACATCAATACAGAAAACCCCCCTATGACTCCTGGTTCAAAAGCTCGCCTATTTTCAAAATGGCCGTCACTTTTGTCTCGCGAAATTCACTTTTGGCTCATTTCCTAGCTTTACAAATAATTTCAGGTGTTCTACATTGTAGAAATCCATTGCAAAGTAAAGAGTAGATGTATGAAATAATTTTGTTACGAAAAATCAGCGAAAAATTATATCCATTTATTTATTTTCAGCCATTTTAGTTAACATTGATTTGTCCATCTGTCTTGCAAAATTCACTTTTGGACCATTTTTTGTATCCATTTTTTTATTTTCAGCCATTTTAGTTAACATTGATTTGTCTATCTGACTCGCGAAATCCACTTTCTGTCAATAACAGTGGCACGTTTTAAAACCTCTGTCGATAGGATTCCTGTTTTAAGTTATTTCTGTTCAACATGAATCCAGAAAACTCCCCTATGACTCCTGGTTCAAAAGCTCGCCTATTTTCAACATGGCCGCCATTTTTGTCTCGCGAAATTCACTTTTGACCCATTTCCTAGCTTTACAAATAATTTCAAGTGTCCTACATTGTAGAAATCCATTGCAAAGTAAAGAGTAGATGTATGAAATAATTTTGTTACGAAAAATCAGCGAAAAATTATATCCATTTATTTATTTTCAGCCATTCTAGTTAACATTGATTTGTCCATCTGTCTTGCAAAATTCACTTTTGGACCATTTACCTTAAACCCTCTGTCGATAGGATTCCCATTTTAAGTTATTTTTGTTCAACATCAATACAAAAAACTCTCCTATGACTCTTGGTTCAAAAGCTTGGCTATTTTCAAAATGGCCGTCACTTTTGTCTCGCGAAATTCACTTTTGACCCATTTCCTAGCTTTACAAATAATTTCAGGTGTCCTACATTGTAAAAATCCATGTCAATGTAAAGGGTAGATATATGAAATAATTTTGTTACAAAAAATCAGTGAAAAATTGTATCCATTTTTTTTATTTTCAGCCATTTTAGTTAACATTGATCTGACTCGCGAAATCCACTTTCTGTGGCACGTTTTAAAACCTCTGTCGATAGGATTCCTGTTTTAAGTTATTTCTGTTCAACATCAATTCAGAAAACTCCCCTATGACTCCTGGTTCAAAAGCTCGCCTATTTTCAAAAAGGCCGCCATTTTTGTCTCGCGAAATTCACTTTTGACCCATTTCCTAGCTTTACAAATAATTTCAAGTGTCCTACATTGTAAAAATCCATGTCAATGTAAAGAGTAGATGTATGAAATAATTTTGTTACGAAAAATCAGCAAAAAATTATATCCATTTATTTATTTTCAGCCATTTTAGTTAACATTGATTTGTCCATCTGTCTCGCAAAATCCACTTTTGGACCATTTACCTTAAACCCTCTGTCGATAGGATTCCCATTTTAAGTTAATTTTGTTCAACATCAATACAAAAAACTCTCCTATGACTCTTGGTTCAAAAGCTCGCCTATTTTCAAAATGGTTGCCATTCTTGTTTCGCGAAATTCACTTTTTGCCCATTTCCTAGCTTTACAAATAATTTCAGCTGTCCTGCATTGTAAAAAGCCATGTCACTGTAAAAGGTAGTTGTAGGAAATAATTTTGTTACAAAAAATCGGCAAAATATTATATCCGTTTTTTTTTATTTTCAGCCATTTTAGTTAACATTGATTTGTCCATCTGTCTTGCGAAATCCTCTTTTGGACCATATACTTAAAACCTCTGTCGATAGGATTCCAGTTTCAAGTTATTTTTGTTCAACATCAATACAAAAAACTCCCCTATGACTCCTGGTTCAAAAGCTTGCCTGATTTCAAAATGGTCGCCATTTTTGTCTCGCGAAATTCAATTTTGGCCCATTTCCTAGCTTTACAAATAATTTCAGGTGTCTTGCAATTGGCAAAAAATTATATCCGTTTTTTTTTCAGCCATTTTAATTGACTGAGAGACAGATGGCTTGAAATAATTTTGTAACAAAAAATCAGCAAAAATGTGACCATGTGAGCCCAGTACCCACGGTACTAATTTTATATTTTATATACAGCCAGAAACCAAAATGTACATGTCAAACAACTTATAGGGAGAAAAACTCTAGAATATGTATATGATTTGGAATGTTTTATAATACACTAATTTGCAAATCCCATGTTTAATATGAAACAACTAGCACACAGATTTATATTTTAAGGTCAGGGTGCCTGATGGGAAATTTTCTGCATTCCTCAATTGAGTCACATGTTATTTTTCAAACAAGAATCACTCCTTCCCCAGAGAGTCTATATCTTCCAGGTTTGCACAAAGAGTGCTCTTATGTGCCTAGAAAAGACTTGTGAGAAGAATGTTTTGATAAAGTGTATAAAAAACAAGAAAATTCAGTGAAAAAATTCAGAAAATGTTTAGAATTTTTTTTCACTGAATTTTCTCGTTTTTTATACATTTTACAAAACAAATCTTCTCACAACGCTTTTCTAGGCACATAAGTGCACTCTTTGTGCAAACCTGGAAGATGTAGACAATGTGGGGAAGGAGTTATTCTTGTTTGAAAAATAACATGTGACTCAATTGAGGAATGCAGAAAATTTCCCAACATGCACCCTGTCCTTAAATCCCAGGAATTTATATTTCCTCCAAAAACATAGAATGTACCTCCTATGTAGGCAGCTAATCTTTAATATCTTCAACTTCGATTTTTTAAAAGCACAATGTCACACATAAACTGTTTACATCCACTGTTATTACTAATTAGTGCCAGATAGTGTCTATTACAGTACTATACATAAATATACATCATTGTTCAGTTGATTATTTTTATGTATTGTACAGATATGTTAATGTACATCATTGTTCAGATATGATAATGTACTGTACATAAACATATCATCATTCAGTGATTTATGTTATGTTTATATGATACATAAATACATTATTGTTCAATTGATTATTTTCATGTATTGTCCCCCATGAATACGTCATCATTCAGTTGATTATATTGGTGTTATATGCATCAATACATCATTGCTCATTTGATTATATTGCTTGAATATGTTTTGTAACACATTTATTTTTATTTGCTCAGTGATGAAATACACAAGAATGTGAGAGAAAAGTAATATTTTAGTTTGTTTCTTACATTATGTATGAATGTAGAAATGTAAAATAACTTACAACACAGTAAAAATGACTAAACATACCAGGTTCACTTGTTTCAGGGATAAACTCGGATTAACTTTTCAACCCTGTACCTGTAATATATACACCACATTTATGCAGATATCCATCAAAGTTAAATACATGTTGGCATTGAAATCTGTGCATTTCCAATCCCTCTGCGCTGTGAACTCGATCTCAATTCTTACAAAATCAAAAATGCAACTAAATATTTTGCAAGTAAGTGGTTTGGGAGGTTTCAGAATATAATTACACCTTAGAAATTCATGCAGTCATTGCTTTGTTATTTGCAAATTGATTCCCTCACTTAGGGAACGAAGTTTTTCGCAAGTTTAACATTTTCTCATTTATTGAAAGATGTGCCTCGTTTAATAAGCTGGAGAATTGATTTGAAAATATCTCAGAAATGACTGGATTGTTTTTAAGTTGTAATCATATTTCAAAACTGGAACATTCAAACTATTTACCTGCCAAATTTTTAGTTGTAATTTGAAAGATAAAAGCACGAAAATCATGAAAAGAAAAAATTCTTTTTCACTCCTTTTTCATTCGCAGCCATTTTGATACAAGGCAAAACCTCCCTCGTTTCCAGTTCATCCCCAGTGAATAGGGAAATAGGAAATTTTTTGTTTGTTTCAAACAATGAAGTTTGTAAATGTCAACATCAATCCTCACTCCTAGAATTTGGGGGTTTATTGAAGGAAGTGTTGTTCTTTAAGTGGGACAAGTTAGACATCATATAAAGAAAAAAAGTTTCACATAATATTCATCCAAAGCTTTATTTCGTTACAAAAATACATATTGATGACAGAACTAAAAATATTATTTGAATCAATGTGAATGCACACATAAGATAAGCTTAAAAAGTCAGAATTTACGGATACAGTAAAGCCAGGATGTCTCTTTGATGAGAAATGGGAACACTTTAATTAGTTTTTTAACAGTTTTGCCCATCTGAATATCTCATCTCATCTGATGCATCATAAAATGTGCACTCTTAACAACCATCAACAAATACTCTTTATGAGTTATTTGGGAGATTCTGTTCCATATTATAAGTGGAACTGTAATACAAGCCTAAAATAAAGCCAGAAAAGAATATATTTAATTTCTCTTTAAGTTAAAATTGCATTATTCTGAAATAAGAAACACTGACTCGCTTGAAAAAATCATAGTTCTTAAAAAATACATATAAAAAGAAAATTTTCAAAATTAGAATTTTGCATGTAATTTTTCTGTTTGAAATTACCTTGATTGTACTTCTTATTGCAGATACCAATCTTTCTTGAAAGTCCATACCCTAATACAACAGCATGTGGTAATAGCTTTCCTACCAACTCTAACAGGAAAGGCAATTATTTCTTTACAATGGATCTACTATGACATACACTCTATTGAAATGTCATTTCAACCTCACCTTTCTTTAGCAAAAGTCACTTTTAGTTATATTATCACATCATTACAGTTATTTCTGTACTAATCAAACAATTGCACCTGGGGAAATTGCATACTCATCCTTCAAATTGTATCGAATATCCATGTTCTAGTGTCATATAAGCTGTAGTGTATCCTTACGATCACCAAGATTTTAACTTCAGCTACATGCTGAGTTGGCAACCAAGAGCAGCTCGACTATTATGTATCACAACTGTAGTAAGTATTTACACATTCTCAGAACCTGGTCGATTTCCCCAATAAATACCCTCTAAATTCCCTCGCAGTATCCCTATTATTGAAGTGGTCACGTGATTTCCTTCACTGTTGGGGGTCTACAAATATTGTTCCTCTCAACACATTGTTTCAGCCATTCTATCCCTTCGTGGACACCATCACTGCAAACATATGTTGTATTCATTACATACCTAGGGTGACTATGACATGATATGTTGTAGTTACTAGGGTAACTGTATCGTCAAAGTTAACAAAAGTAAGAACATTGTACAAATATTTGAAGTGGTGAAAAAAGAAAATTTGAGTTTCATTTGGAAGAGGGAGTAAATAACTTAAAATAAGTTTCAAATGTGTGAAATGTAGTTCAACGTATAACAAAAGCAAAATTTACTGACCCATTCAAGGCAGATACCCCCAGCACCTTACAGTCTCTTTTGCCAATCTTTTGAGCACTATCATGGAATGCCTGCTTCACTTCACTGGTAGACATACAATTCTGAAATATATCATACAACACATTAGAACATGACTGAAAAAGGAAGGGACAGACTGAATTAAGGGAGGATGGACTGATCAGATGATTAAAGGACGAACAGACTGATTTAAGGAAGGATACACTGAGACTATTGAAAGGGATAACAGACTGATTAAAGGGAGAATAGACTGATCCAAAGGAGGATGATTGATTCAAATGAGAACAGACTGATTAAAGGGAGAACAGACTGATTAAAGGGAGAACAGACTGATCCAAAGGAGGATGATTGATTCAAATGAGAACAGACTGATTAAAGGGAGAACAGACTGATTAAAGGGAGAACAGACTGATCCAAAGGAGGATGATTGATTCAAATGAGAACAGACTCATTGAAGGGAGAAAAGACTGATTAAAGGGAGAACAGACTGATTAAAGGGAGAACAGACTGATCCAAAGGAGGATGATTGATTCAAATGAGAACAGACTGATTGAAGGGAGAAAAGACTGATTAAAGGGAGAACAGACTGATCCAAAGGAGGATGATTGATTCAAATGAGAACAGACTGATTGAAGGGAGGAAAGAGTGCTTAAAGGGAGAACAGACTGATTAAAGGGAGAACAGACTGATCCAAAGGAGGATGATTGATTCAAATGAGAACAGACTGATTAAAGGGAGAACAGACTACTTAAAGGGAGAACAGACTGATTAAAGGGAGAACAGACTGATCCAAAGGAGGATGATTGATTCAAATGAGAACAGACTAATTGAAGGGAGAAAAGACTGATTAAAGGGAGAACAGACTGATTAAAGGGAGAACAGACTGATCCAAAGGAGGATGATTGATTCAAATGAGAACAGACTGATTGAAGGGAGAAAAGACTGATTAAAGGGAGAACAGACTGATTAAAGGGAGAACAGACTGATCCAAAGGAGGATGATTGATTCAAATGAGAACAGACTGATTAAAGGGAGAACAGACTGATTAAAGGGAGAACAGACTGATCCAAAGGAGGATGATTGATTCAAATGAGAACAGACTGATTGAAGGGAGAAAAGACTGATTAAAGGGAGAACAGACTGATTAAAGGAGAATAGACTGAACCAATGGAGGATGATTGATTCAAATGAGAACAGACTGATTAAAGGGAGAACAGACTGATCCAAAGGAGGATGATTGATTCAAATGAGAACAGACTGATTGAAGGGAGAACAGACTGATCCAAAGGAGGAGGATTGATTCAAATGAGAACAGACCGATTGAAGGGAGGAAAGACTACTTAAAGGGAGAACAGACTGATTAAAGGGAGAACAGACTGATCCAAAGGAGGATGACTGATTCAAATGAGAACAGACTGATTGAAGGGAGGAAAGACTGATTAAAGGGAGAACAGACTGATTAAAGGGAGAACAGACTGATCCAAAGGAGGAGGATTGATTCAAATGAGAACAGAATGATTGAATGGAGGAAAGACTGATTAAAGGGAGAACAGACTGATTAAAGGGAGAACAGACTGATCCAAAGGAGGATGACTGATTCAAATGAGAACATACTGATTGAAGGGAGGAAAGACTGATTAAATGGAGAACAGACTGATTAAAGGGAGAACAGACTGATCCAAAGGAGGATGATTGATTCAAATGAGAACAGACTGATTGAAGGGAGGAAAGACTACTTAAAGGGAGAACAGACTGATTAAAGGGAGAACAGACTGATCCAAAGGAGGATGATTGATTCAAATGAGAACAGACTGATTGAAGGGAGGAAAGACTACTTAAAGGGAGAACAGACTGATTAAAGGGAGAACAGACTGATCCAAAGGAGGATGATTGATTCAAATGAGAACAGACTGATTGAAGGGAGGAAAGACTACTTAAAGGGAGAACAGACTGATTAAAGGGAGAACAGACTGATCCAAAGGAGGATGATTGATTCAAATGAGAACAGACTGATTGAAGGGAGGAAAGACTGCTTAAAGGGAGAACAGACTGATTAAAGGGAGAACAGACTGATCCAAAGGAGGATGACTGATTCAAATGAGAACAGACTGATTGAAGGGAGGATAGACTGATTAAAGCGAGAACAGACTGATTAAAGGGAGAACAGACTGATCCAAAGGAGGATGATTGATTCAAATGAGAACAGACTGATTGAAGGGAGGAAAGGCTGATTAAAGGACAGTCTGGTTTGAATAAGGATAAGAAACATATTCGAGATTTCATCAGAATTCTGACAAAAGGCAAAATTATTGAAATCATTATTTAATATGAGTGTGAAAATGTACCTTTAGATCTTGTTTGTTGGCTAGGACTAGAAGTGGAACACCAAGCAAAACTTCACTTTGTATCATCTTTTCTATAAAATAAATAACAATATATAAATTACTCTAATGCGTCTGGAAATTTTGTTATAATCAACATCATTCATTAAAATATAGCTGATTAAACAAAATGGTTTTTGAAACTGTATCCACATGGAACTTGGGGATGTTCTGTCATTATATGTGCAATACTGTACTCTTACATAACAGTATGACACTGTATGATCCTACATATATTTGTTAACCTGTAGGTATCTTTAGAATTCCTCTATCATCAATATTATAGAATTAAACTGATTTATTTGTGGAAACAAACGCATGTTTATTAACCTTATAAAATTGATGAACATCCAATAATTTATTTACTGTTGTTTAGAGAAACCTTTATTTAATCACTGGAATTCTCACCAAATGCTTCTTTAGATTCATCTACTCTCTCCCTGTCAGAAGAGTCAATTATGTATATGACGCCATGGGACTCAGCATAGTACTGAAACAAACATGAAACAGGACATTAACATACAAAATGTCATCATCTGCCTTTTGTTACAGACACCAACCACAGAACACTGACCGCCACCCTCTGAACACCATCCACAAAATGTTGGAGATTACAACAACAACATGTCATCACTTGTAGTGGTGACACAAAAACTGGAGATGTATATTATTCATCATTTACGGTACACAGTGTTTTAGATTCTGGATGTGTCAAGTAAAGGTACATGGTAAATTTATTCTTAATATTCACGAAAAAAGGATAACCATGTCTGGCAAAACAACCCATGTATCTACCAAAAACAACCCATGTATCTACATGTATAATATATACCTGAAACTATTTAAATACACCTTATTGGGTAAAATGACAGTTGAAACTCTTACCTTGTCCCAAAGAGATTGCAACTCCTCTTGGCCTCCAAGATCCCAGAAATTCAGTCTCACTGGACCTATGTCAATCTTTCCAACTTAAATACAGAGAAGTCAATTCATTTAAAAACAAATCAGGGGTATCAAAAATTTGGAAAACTATGAAATAAATAATTTTATCCCATACTTGGACGTGTTACAGGTACATAAAGCCGGTTTGTAAAAACTTATATTTTCATCAGCGGGCAGATATAGCTTTACGTCCCGCTCTGAGCGGGTAAATATAGTATATCTGCCCGCTACGTCATAATCGCCGCTGGCATATTTGTTCATAATTTGTAACGTTCGCGTAATGACTGTAAAAGACAATGGAGAAAACACAGACTATCGGGATCTGTTTGATGGTTTAAAAAAGGGAAGGAGCATCCACTTAATCAATCAAAAATTAGAGAAAATAAATATGGGAATATTTGTGAGAACAGGAAAATCCGCCCACGGCCAAGAAAACAAAACTGGACATGAATATTCTAAAATATTTCCACGATTGAACAATGTTAACCAGTTGACCAAGATTGGTATGGGATAAACATATTATCCTATAGTCGGTTCAGGATATTGGGATTATCCCTTGGCCAATATAATATATTTTCCCTCGGGACCTGCGGCCCTCGGGCAAATATATTATATTTGCCTCGGGATAATCCCAATATCCTGAACCTCATATAGGATAATCTATATGTATAACCATCCTTAGTGGCTCCAAAAATGTAGCAAATGAAAAGTCTGTTATATATAATTTGTTTGAATCAAACCTCTAGATCAAAATGAAACAGACATTAACATGCAAAATGTCACCACCTGCCATTTGTTACAGACACCAAACACCAACCGTGGAACACCATCCACAAAAAAGGTTGGAGACTATGACAATATGTCACCGCTTCTAGTGTCGACATAATAAAAATGGTAATTCATGTAATTGGATAACTTACTATTTAAACCAACTGTTGTTGTAATTTTAGCAGGATTCATAGCTTTGTAGTTTTTTGTGAACTTTGTCTTAGTTTGTTCCAGATATGTCTAAAAATAGAGATTCGCTTTGAGTTGACAACTTTATTCATTATTTACTGAAGTGAAAAACTCCGGGAAGTTTATACAAATATCAATAAAATAACGGAATATATAAAGTAATCAAAAATGCATGTTTTGAACACATTTTTATATTAATTTTTACAAACTCAATTTTCAAGAATGGAATAATTAAAAACATTGACTTAGTAATACATCCTTTTTCCGAATTAATAATCGACTGATCATCTAAAAATTAAGCTTTTTACTTTTACTCATACATGTAGTTTAGACATCTAAAATGTCTTACTGTTTTGCCAGCATTGTCAAGTCCCAATATCAGTACAAAGTATTCATCCTTCTTGAACATGTACTTCCACATCCCTGACAGTAATGTATACATCTGAAATAATGACCAGAAATACATGTTACACATAGATTTTTATCATGATGAACACATAATAGGCTTCGATGTTACAACAAAATATGCTAGAGAGCTGTCCTCTCATTCCTAACTTTGGGGTAAAGAATCTAGTACTTAGTACTAAGCTTACGCTCTAAATAAAAGTAACAGTTTTGGTGCTGATAAGATATCATGATCCCCCCTAAGTCCTGTACTGTCAGAAGCACTATCATAGATAAGTCAAGGGACTACATGTACCTTAACTCAAAGAGTACAACAATGTTAAACTTCTAGTATATGAAGCTCTCTTTTTAATATTGAAAAAGGTACGTAACTCAAACTGTACAGTATATATCACAACTGTCCTTTCAATTTTTGGGAAATTACCAATTATTATGATTGGTCAACTGGAAATTCGCAAGTCAGGCAGGGGGTTAGCCAGCAATTGTAAAGGGGGTGTGTGTGATTTTTTGGGTTTGCATCACTGCGAGTGAAGTGAGCCCCAAAAGGAGAGGTCCATGGCCCCTAAAACTGAAGACAATCAAAATTGAGAGTCACAGGGGTTTCTAGAGAGTCAATACAATATTATTGGAATTACGACCAGAGATGATAATCACAAGAATCTGCATGACATCCAGCAATGGTCCTGGAATATGTATAAAAGAAATCTACTCAGACTCAATTTTACATCCATGTTCCCAGGGCCTATGACATTCAAACACAGGGGCTCGACTGAAGGGTCTGGCAAGCCCTCCAATGCAATAAGTCTGTACTGTGCTAAACTACTTAGACCAGTACAAGGCTCGCCCGACACTCCAGCCAAGTCCCTGTGCATCCAAACAATCATAAATGTCTTTGGAATCAGGTGTTTGTTAGTGTACATGTACACTTGGTATATACTGTAAGTATTTCAGCTATGCTGAGTGACAACCAGGAAGTAAAATATTACAATCAATTAAAATACAATAATGGTAATTTATTTTTACAAATTGAAGTAGCTATACAATCCATTATATACTCACTTTGTCCCCAGACAAATAATAACGCAAACTACTGATAACAAACGCAGAAAATTGAATAAAATGTGTGAATATATCTACGTGTTTTTGGAAACCTCATAAAATGCCCGGATGTAAATCCCCCTAGCGGACAAAACTTTTTGGGTCTATAACTTTGTTTTATTTGTCCATCTCGACGAGGATTCCGTCATTACTGACGTGTAAGTCATGATTTATCAAGATAATGATGCGCTGTACATATTGAACGTTTTCGTTTGTAAAGAAAATGCCTTAGTTGATCAGTTTTACTGTACTTTGTATGATTTCCCCTATTATCGCCCGCTGTTATTTATTTTTTTATCAAAACAAAACTGAAACTAACAAACAATTGCGTAGATATTAAAATATATACATTAAGAGGTATACTGTACATACTTCGGTAAGTGAGTAAGCTTATTCAACATAAGGAGGTCTTCAAATTTTCACTGAAGTCATATTGCCAGCAGGCCCGTAGCTAGTTCAACAATTCCCAAACCTTTGGCCTCATTTCTTATCTGACATATATTATGGCAATGTACGGCTATCTAACAAAGATCAGAATAATAAAGAAGGTCGTACATTCAGTTCTACTTGTAGAACTAACCCGTAGGCAGCTTTTGCCAACGGTGTTGGGTTCATTTTCTAAAAATTTCCAGGGGGGTTCAAATTTGATAATTTGGGTCCAAAATCACTTGAAAGGTGCTCATAATGGTGAAAAAATGCATAATTTTGAAAGAATTTGTGGCAAGGGGGTTTGCTCAAATACTCTGGAGATAATAGACCTTGTAGGTTACCACTTTTCTTCCAGGTGAGCCACTGTAGATGTCAGCTGCTGGTATACAGGTTCCTTCGCAAATAATCAGTGTCTGAAAGGAAACTGCAATAGAAATCTTGACTTGGCTCTGGGGAGGGGCAACCTTTTACATGTATCGACATATCATTTATGTCTAGAGGAATCTTGGTATGTTCACATGTATGTATTTATGCAAATACACAGTCATGGGGTGCAAGTGTACATGTACATGTACATTGTATCTCCATTGTATCTTTCATACTACATACAGTAGTCTAACAAGTGAACTCTTAAAAAAGAAGTACTTGTCATGATTGAAAACCATTAATTTTGCCACAGAAACTCACCAGCTCTCACCTGCCCACTAATTCATATTTTTTAAATGCAAACATTTTCTGAAATCTGATGACATGGTCAAAGTTACACTCAAAATTGGGGAGGTGGGAGGATACAAATTTTCCTTTGCTTTTTCTGTACTATCAGTTTGCATGATTTATTTTTCAGACCAAATAGTAGTAAGAATAAAGTACCTATTTGTAAAATGAGCCCACAATCTGTCACCAGGATGGACACCTGTGGTCCAAGGGGCATCATCCATGCAGAACTGAGTGATAGTAAAACAACCATTAGTGAAGAAATAGACTGTTCAAAGCGACTTCATCCAAAACAAGTTGAATCACTCCGAGAATTAAACCTTGAAGAGATTGAATTATCAGTATTACAGTGGATAGCTGATACATCACAGTTATCTGAAATGGCTGATAACACAAAGCTATCAATAGTTGATAACATAAAACCATCGAAAATAGCTGATACCTTGAAACTATCAAATACAGAAGATATTGTGCAACCATCAACATCACCTGATGCAACACAACATTCACAAATAGCTGACACAGAACAATCCCCAAATATAGTGGATATTATGCAACCATGCATTAGTTCGCTCAATGGAGAAGAATGTGTACAAGATCATAGCACATTTGAATTGAATTTAAAAACTGATCAAGTCCAATGCAAAAGCAACTTCTCAAACCACAGTACTAAGTGCCCTACAATATCGACATTGCTTCAAACATCGGTACCTATTCATGCTTTTTCTAGTCAACAATCTGATACCATTACCAATGGAACAATTACATCGAATACTGAAATACCTCAATTTTGTCTACCTCAGATCAAAAACAATGGCAATATGGATTGTGATGTTGATGTGCAAAAGGATGAACAGGCTTCAAACGATGATTCTTGTACAACAATTACTAAGCAAATTCAGGTTTATTCCAAGGAACTATTACTCACACATATCCGTAGAAAAAACTGTAAAAAATTCTCAATCCAGTTATATGATATTTGTAAACATTCAAAAGATAAACCAACCATACGTCAACAGAGAGCCGAAAGATCAAAGCATAAGACACAAATAGACTCCAAGTGTAAAATGCTTGTACGAACCCATTATGACTATAAGGAAATAACAGAAAGTAAGCAAACCTTATTATTAGTTAATTTCACATTCAAGTTATGAGTCGAAATGGTCTGGAGCTTTAATCATGAGTTTCAAAATTCTGACTGAATATTACCAAGTGTTGACATATTGTTATCATGTAGTCTCCAACTTTTTTGTGGACGGCGGTGGATGTTTGGCATTTGGCGTTCGGTGTCTTTAACAAATAGCAGGTGGTGACATTTTGCGCATTAATGCCTTGTATGTTGAATGTTTCATCATTCATATATAGAACACTGATTTCCTTCATTTTCTGTATTTCAGATGTATATGTTGATGTTAAGCCTGCACCTTGTGATGTTTACCCTCCATGTAACTGTCAATACCCTGCTGCTGTCCAATTACAAAAGGCTTGTAATGACGAGTGTTTGAATCGTATGATGTATGCGGAATGTTCCCCAGAGACGTGTCCATGCGCTAACAGCTGTGGAAACCAGAGTATACAGAGACATAAATGGGTTAAGGGTTTAGAGAAATACAACACAGAAAATAGAGGATATGGTGTGCGCACAACTGTCAAAATAAATGCTGGTAATGAACTTGACAGTCCTTTTGATGTTGAAATTGGGGAAAAATCAATTGTTTAAATCATGTGTCATAATTAAAAATATAATATTATTGTTTGTTTGGCTAGGTTTAGTTTAAAACATGATTAGTTGGGGAGACGCTCAAAAGTTAAATGTTACTCTTTTGTTCCCTTTTTTTAAATTCGATCTTATTATACCTTTTTGACTTCCATTCCTAAAATTGCTATTTTTGTATATTTTAGACCAGTTCATACTGGAATATGTGGGGGAAGTGGTCAGTGGAAAAGAATTCCGTAGACGTATGATAGAAAAGTATTCCCAGGACAACCATCACTACTGTTTGAACCTAGGTAGTGGCATTGTGATTGATGGCTATCGTCGAGGTAACATAGGACGCTTTGTTAATCACTCTTGTGACCCAAACTGTGAAATGCAAAAATGGTAAGCTTTTTTCTTCATCTTTGCCATGCCCAGAACCCTTCCCTTCAAATGAGAGACATATTAACTAGCGCTCTTGCCCACTCATAAGTCATAACCTCTCCTTTTTGTTTTGTTTATCAAGTACTGTAGTTATAATTATCAAACCCAAAGTAGCGATGTAGAGTAGCCATGGTTGTTATTTATCAGAAGGAATATTTTTCTGAAAATGTTGTAAGCTGATACCTTCTGGTCATTCTACTCAAGAAAAAATTGATGACATGGCATTACTCAAGTTGTGGATGTAGATATTGCCAAAAGAAGACAATACAACTGCCTTGTTATTTTTATCATGAAATTTGGAAAATGACGAGTGAGTTTTTCAATGATATTTTGCTACATTGGGGAGTTTTTCTAGTCCGTAATATGTTTTTAAACAACTGTCCAATTTAGGGATAAATAAATGAAATATTCATAACACATGAACATTGCTCATTGCTGATTGGTTATTGTCAAAATGTACCCAGTACTATTTTTTCAAGATTGTATGTTATTGCAGGAATGTGAATGGTGTATACAGGATTGGACTGTTTGCATTGAAAGATATAGAGCCTGGGACTGAATTGACCTATGACTACAACTTTGATGCTTTCAACCTGGATAGCCAGGTATATCATATTTGTAGCCAGTGATGCATGTGATGTTTTTAGATTAAATATTCAGCTAGGAGAGCAGGCAAAGTATCAATATCAGACCAGAAACCCTATGAACGTTTGTTTGTTGGGGTTTCAGTATGGAAGTTTTCCAGCAAACAAAACGCTGTGTAAAATAAACAGCAAACCTCTTCTGTCATGTCTGTTCACTGTGTAGATTGATGTTTTATGAAATTCTTATGATGTACCTTAGAGTTCTAGAGCAATAAGATGGTAAGATATATCCCGTATCCTGATTTTGACGTTTCCATATCCAGAACCTCCATATCTTCCATCATATCTCCAACTCTAGGGCATATCTTCCCTCTTTGAAAAGAAATTGAAAAAAAAAATTGAAAAGAAATTGAAAAAAAATTGGAAAATGTGAAAAATGATTGAAAAAATATGACAAAAATAACAAATAAAAAAATTTGAAAACTACTGGGTATAGGATAAAGCAATTATGTACGGTCGATTTAAGAGATATGCATATCTACCTGAGGGATAGTAGGGACCAGAGGTAGATGTGCATATTTCATACTTGAGTGGGTTTGGGGTAGATATCACCCGGGAATATATATCATATCTGAGGAGCGGGCAGGATATATTGTATATGTCCCGCTCTAGGCCAAATGCGGGCAGATATAATATATCCATCCCGCTCCCGGGAATTTTTTCAAAAGTTTAAAAATTTTAAAAATTTAAATTTCAGAAGTTTAAAATTTTTCAAAAAGTTTAAATATTAGAATTCTATTGTATTGAACTGAAGGAATATTATGAAAATGTTAAATATAAATTGTGCTTTTACAGTATAGGCCTATCTTGTCATTTGAAAAAGGTGGTAAAGGTTATATCTACCCCAAACCCACTCAAGTATGAGATACACCAGTTATGTACGGTCGGTTTTGGATACAGTGTGTATCCCGCGGGAAATATGTGTATCTCCCTCGGTCCCTGCGGTCCCTCGTGAGATATTTCCCTTGGAATAAACCCTGTATCCAAAACCTCCCAGTACATAACCCTTATATATCTCATGAGGGATAAACCCAATATCCACAACCTCTCAGTACACAACCCTTATAAATATGTAATACCTAACCTGGAAGAAAAACGGTGCAGTATGAGACTCGTAATCCTTGATTTTCAAGCATCTGGTAGGTCAAAAATTCAAATTAACGGTCGAAGTTTGTACCGCGTGTCTATGGTCCTGTTTGATACATGTCTGATTTGAATCTCAATTTTATCTGATTCTGTACATCTTATATCAAGTAATGCATGTATTTTGTAGCAAGTCTGCAGATGTGAAAGTGAGAACTGTCGGGGTATAATGGCTAGAAAATCACAGAATGTCAATGTACCGCACAACACAGCTCAACCAATCAGCAATAAACATTTACGGAGTAAATTAAAGAAAAAACAATGTATAAGGTAAGAATTACATGATATAACGTGTGTGTTTTGTTTGTTGACAAGGTTTAATAAAACACATTCTACACAGCCAATCCACATCTTCATGGGAACCAATGCCTTGAAGATCCACCTGGAATCCACATGGATTCCATGCAAAATCCACTTAGATTTTAGGCACGTTGATTGACTTGGAATTGGGAAAGTTTTCCAATGTATATTCACGTGGAATCCTTGTAAAATATCCCCGTTGAAACATGGACTAGTTATCAAGAACCGTGCAGCATTGATTGACCATCATCCATAATGAGGCATGTCTGTTGATACCATGTAACTTCAGCAAAACTTAAGACTTGCTAAGTGACCTTTATGGCACCCACAAAAACTTTAGACCTTCCTCTAAAACAAGTTGAGAATATAAGTCCATTAATGCAAGTAATAACTGAGATATAGCTTTTTGCAAGGGTTCACTTTTTTGGACCACCCTGGGGTCCGTTTTTGAAACCATCGTAACTTACGATTTGGTCGCAAGTCATTGTTCATCAAAACAGAGACAAATGGTTTTCTCGGAATCGTAAGTTACGATCGTACGAAAAACGAACCCCTGTATACTGGGAGGTTAATCATGTTAATGAATAACTAATGTATAATCATGATTGCTTCCAGGAGAAAAAGAAAGAAAATATCAACAATTCAACAGTTGTTTCCTGTCAGCAAAATCAAAAGGGTAAGCAAATCTAAATTGACTCTACATGTACTATTATACATGCTATAGATTTTGAGTGAACTGTACATTCAACATTGATAATAGTTGATCAATTAAAATTCTCTAATGTTTTAAGATATTAAAATCTGGTTCTTGAGCTGGTGACAGGTCATCTCAACCCCAACTAAACTCATTCCAGTAAAACTCAACCCAAAGTCAACTCAACCCCAGTAAAACACAACCCCATTCATTTCTGTAATGTCTTGCAAAATGAGAAACACAAATATTTCATTCTATTTTTTAGGGTATAGGCCCTACATGTCACTTTCAAAGGTAACATTCCCTGTGCCCTTTGGACATTGGGAAATATTACTCTTGAAGCATACATCTGTACATAGGCAGTCTCATCAGTTGATCAAAATGTTTGTACAATATCAAATCCTTTAATCACACTGTACAATATTAATCATATGAGATAACATTGCTTTCAGACAAGTGGTAGTGGTAAAGGATAAGACCCTTGGTCCTCTCAGTGGAGCTACTGAACTGCAGGTATTGATTAACATGGCAATTTGTTCATTTTAACATCACAGATTACATTGGTAAGAAAGAAGTTGTGATGAGTATCAAAAATGATCTCACCTAAAACCTGAGATTTAAGGTATTATGCTAAGTCTAAGAAACACTTCCATTCTATATTGGATCCATGTGATTCTCATTTTTTAATCCAAATGTGCTTTTCTATCATTTCAGTGGCTATAACATTCTCAGGTGTTAGATTCCAATAAAGACCGGTGAAGGTGTAGTGAGAGAAATATCATATGTGACCTTCTATATAGATGCTGCACAATATAGAGATGTCAGATCATGAATATATTGGTGTCACATGATAATATATTGATGCCATACAGCCATATGATAATTTATGATGTCATGTTATAAGAGTGGCGAATAATGACATGTGTTTACAGGAGTGCTATAAGTAAAGCTAAACCTAAATGGTTTTCTTTGACCTGGAAAGGTCATGAAATTTCAAGTTTTTGTAGTCAACCTTTTCAATCAATCAACAATAAATTTTACTCTGGCATTGTTTCAATTCATGGAGAAGTTTTGATTTCTTCCATTGTTCTAAAAATGTATTTGACAATGGATTTCCGTATTATGTTTCCAATAGGTCACATTGACCTGTATCTTTTAGATATTTTTAAATTAGTTAAATTATTTTGTGTACAATGAGCAATTAATATATATGAGTTTATATACAATAAGGTATGTACAATAAGTCATTAAATATGTGTGCAATAACCTGTTCATGATGTCTACAATAAGTTTTAATAATGATATATATAATAAGCTGTTATAGATGTATACAATAAACTGTTAATGTGTTTTCAATTTTACAATGCCCTTGCCCTGGGCCTTTTGTATGTCAGATTTTATTTGACCTTTTGAGAATGTTTTGTTTTTGGAGTTTATTGCATTTCGGAAGTGCAAATATGTCTTTTCATCATGAGATTTGTAAAATTGCTGCATGTGAATAGAAAATGCAATATTTTTTGAGGTTGTGAAACTATTATGGGTCTCAAAATAATATACAACCTTAAATTTTAGGACTATACATGTACATATAGCATTTTTGCTATCAAATTGTGTAAAGTATACTATATCTAGTACTCCAGTGGTCTGGTGGTTTTTATCACCAGTATTTTGTTTGATTGGTACAAACCATAGGGTAGGCTAAGATAACATTTTTAGAATATATATGTAATTTTATAATACATGTAATATCTATGTAATTTTCAAGTTCTAGAGTATTAGGTACATTTAAGATTTTTGGCATCAACATGGTAACCTGGTGTCTCTTTGTAAATTTTAATATTTTCCAGTTACTTTAGTTCCTATAATATATCTATACTTATACATATATCCTTCACATAAGTAGAAATAAATATAGACATACGCAATAATAACCTGTTAATGATGTGTACAATAAACTGTTAATGATGTGTACAATAAGTTTTTTATGATGTGTACAATAACCTGCATGATGTTGAGATGAACATGATTAAGAATAAGTGCTTGGTCAGGCATTTGCACCCATGAATCAGGGAATTTTAATTTGAAATGTTGTTTGCAATGTATGTGTGTCTTGTATTTTTAAAAATTAACAAAATCTTCTATTAAAATGATACAAGAAACTTGACTTCTGCAATTATCTAGTCAACTCTTTCAGAAAAACAAAATATCCAATATATATAGATGTAATTTTTATTGTGTTATCTGTTATTAAACCTGCAATAACTAAATAGATTGTGATTCAAACATGGTGTAATGTTATCTCATGTAATGTATGTACATGTATGTCCAGATATTAAGTTATAAGGGAGTTTAAGCTTGCAATGTTTTCCACAACCTAAACGTGAATGGAAAATATTTAAGGAATGCATTGTATTGTATATGCATTGTATAGGCGATTGGTCAAACGTATAGGTTGGCGTTTCGATTTTATATGCAAGCTTAAACTCCCTATTATTGTCCCAATGAACAAAGTTTGGTAGGGATATAGAGGAGCCCTCTGTCAGTCTGTCCATGTGTCCATCCATCTGTCTGGAGCATCAAAACAAATACCAGTTGACATGATTTTCTTCATGTTTGGAGGAAAGATAGTACATTTGTTTAATGAATGATAAGTTCTTTTTTTTCAAATGGCCACCGCTTCAAAAATGACAGCAATTTTTTGCAACAAATGTAAAGTTTTTCATTTTCAACTAGTGTAATAAATTTTACTGTTTCAAATTTTGGAAGTATATTCAGATCTCTGAGGTATGACACTATTTTACTAAGTGAAAGGTATTAAGATAAGTGTGTACATTTGGAATTTTTATGCAGTCCTTATTAGAGTCACATGTTATTTTCAAATATGTACTCATCATTCCCCACATCTTTCAACTTTTCACAAAGAGTGCACTAATGTACCTAGAAAGGAGTGTGGAGAATATTTTTTTCATACAAAAAATTAGAAGAGGCAGTGACCTTCTTTTTTATACTTTTACTTTTTACTCTTATACATTTTATAAAACAAATATTCTCCACACTCTTTTCTAGGTACATTAGTGCACTCTTTATGCAAAACTGAAAGATGTAGTCAATGTGGGGAAGAAGTAGTTCATATTTGAAAAGTAACATCTGATCCTGTGAGGATTGCATCAGAATGTGCGAAAGTACGTGCTTACCTTGTATTGTTTTTAAGATTCAAACCTCGGAAAATCTTGCCATCTGATGTTAGAATTTGCAATAATTTGAGATCTCTTCAAAGTATGGCTATACTATTCTCAAATCTAGTAGATCACAATTATTGTGTCATTTAACTTATTTGTACTTAAAATCTAAAAGTGTCATCTCGTACAAGAATTCTCAATAATTAGGAGATCTTTTATGTATGGCTTAGACTAAAATATATTGTGACATATTTCAGATACATGAACATGATTCGTGAATTTGTATGTTGGGATTTGCTATCCTGTGAAGTTTCTGATTTCTAGTTATGTTAAGTTACGTTTTATTTCAAGTTAATGTAATATCGTTGTTTAAAAATAAAATGATTATAAATCTTATAACAAATTGAAAATATTATCGAGTTCTTTTGTTGACATTACACTGAAAATGTCTTCCTGCTTCTTATTGTAATTTTAAACAATAATTAAATTCTATGTTTAGTCTTAGTGAAGAGAGAATAATGCTCTTTATCTTTTCTCTCTCCATGAACAAGAAAGCATCTGTTCTGTTGAATTATATGAAATGTTCACACAGATGTGACTTATTCAAAACATTGCAACACAATCAAGGTGGAGGGGTGCTATGGCAATAGAAAAAATAGTATACCATTTGATAAGACTGGGAAAGTATATAGTCTTAAAGGCTAACCTTGGTCTTCTTAAGGTATGTTGAGAATATTTATTTGAGTATTTCATATCAGATCATACCTTTTGCATTTGTTTGACTTTGCTTCATCTTCACTCTTTCAGTTTACAATAAATCTCTGAACTAACCGAGCCTATCAGAATTTGTTGTTGGATTACAATGACTTTCTACATTTGGTCATTTCCTCTGACATCATCAGATAGTTGATGAGCATGCATTTACCAGAATATGTTCCTTCAGCTTGATTGGTTGAGAAAGGGTCAGGGCAGTAGGTTTGAAATGATCTATTACCCGGGCTGTCACTGGTCTTGGGGATGGGGCTGCTAACTGTAATATAGTCTATACTAGGCAGAGAGTTGTTTATAACTGTATCATGGTAATCAGATAAGATATCTTGATTCTTTTTAATAGAATGGACAATAACCTTCTCTATTATATGTTGCCCCCTTTAAGTCTGAGATGAGTAGTGTGGATAAAATACCTTTAGGCCCTATATCGATGCTTTAACAAAATGTTCACTAACTGTGAATTCACAATTTATCAAGACAAGATACCGCATTTTGGTTTACTATACAGCTATACCCCTCCTTTTCTGGTCTTTTTGTCGCTTGCAAGGAATCTTGAAGACAAGCGGCCGCTATTATTGCGATCAATCCAACAAGCACCACCTCGAGTGACCTTTTGACTATAGGAGTTTTAATAGGGTCACTAGACTGGGTTCGTGACAAATCTCAGATTTGTAAATAAAGCCCAAGAGGCCCATAATGCACCAAGCCGACGCAAAGACATCCTCCGATCACAGGGCTTCAAAATCCAGAATATATTCTTTCTTATTTACCCCCTGCGATGATAAGCAGTTAGCATTTCCCCGATTAAGAACTTGCAATCTGATTGGCTGTCGCAACACTACGACAGAAATCATGTATAAGTCATTGCGGATATTTAGAACACGTGATTCAGTTTAATATGGCGCTTCCAAATTGGTTATAGCAGGGGGGAAGAAGGGGGTACGGATTCTGGACACCTGCTAGGAGGATGACGTAAAGACTACTGAAACTTTCAAACTTTTAAATTTCCCGCAATTTCAACTTCTTACTATCAAATTTATTAATCGGACTAAATACATAACTAAAAATTGCATCTTGTGTCAAAATATGGAAATCGTATTTTAGAAAAAGTTATTATTGTATTTAACCAGCGTATCTATCTCTCTGTGATTTTAAAGATAGGGCTCTTTGCCGGCTTTATTCACCTCTGGCCTTGCACAAGTGTCGCCGCCATATTGAATCCAGGGACGAACTAAAGCCAAGTTTTAAGTATTTTCCCCTACTACTGACTTGGTATAGCGTTCTTGCAAATAAATCACGTAAGAAATAATTCTGTATATTAATCTGTTTATTTTGCTATGTAACATCAATGATATTGTCAATTTATGTCTAAGTTATCAAGGTTTTCATGAAGAACATGTTTTCAAAAATGAAAAAAAATTTCAAAAACATGAAAAAATAAGAAAACAGTGCTGATACAAATTATTTGATGAGTCGTATACATATTTTCTTCAATTTTAACATTTAATGTCCCAAACTCCCACAAACTGGAGAAAAGGATACGACCGTTAATCATATTTGCCAAAATTTACCTTACTACTTTTTGCAAGGCCTGACTTCGTCGCTAACATGCTAAATATAAGAGTTACAGTTGGGGACAAAAATAAATGACAGGTCGATTTTCGATCACCATTTCCTAATTATGGTGGTCTGAAAGCCCATAATTTCCAATATTGTCTAGATACATATCCCTTAAAATTTGTATATTTTACATTTTGTATAATCTCATCCACTGATTTATGGCCTCTTGTAAATTCTCTTATTTTTAACATGGGAAATCCTCACTTCAGCAAATCCACCTGTCATTTATTTATGTCCCCAACTGTAGCTGACGTTTGGGAGTGACTTACCTTCTAAAGGTTAGATCCCGAATCTTAATGAAACCATATCACCTTTATTGCGTCGATGATGATGCATAAACATAGCATTTGATAGAAATTAGTGTAAATGCTTTTCCGACTTTTTCATTTTTCATCAATGTTGACTTTCGGGAAGGCGTTGTAGTTATCACGAAATAACGCATTGACCCTTGAACTTTACTTTGTTGACGTGTCAACCAAGCATGTCTGATGTGAAAATTAAAAGAATATTAAGCAATGTTCTACATCCGCCAAGCTAAGTGAAGTAGCCAATATAAAATTACCAATTTCGAGTGAAGTACGCAACGAATGAAACTGCGTGATCTACAGTCCCACTATTTGTCTGAACGAAATGCTACGTAGAAATATGAGCCGTCTGCTGTATTAGTCGATTAATAGAGTAAGACCTGTTGGTGATGCTTTATAATTTAGACCAAAACATTAAAGAACATACGAACCTGTAAATCGTGAAAACAACGAACAAATATTCGGTTTTCATATATGTTCGGTAATTTTTCGTATTGAAACTTCCGGAACTTACAAGGAAATCATTCATTTTCTCGGTCCATGATTTACCTCTTGGATGTTGTGGCAAATGCTCCATGGTTGACGGAACAAAGGTGATATGGTTTCATTAAGATTCGGGTTCTAACCTTTAGAAGGTAAGTCAGACTCCCAAACGTCAGCTAACTCTTATATTTAGCATGTTAGCGACGAAGTCAGGCCTTGCAAAAAGTAGTAGTCTAAGGCACAGGGGCTTGTCTCGAGGGTCGGGCAAGCCCTCCGATGAGTGTGTACTGCTTTTTAAGAGGGTAAGGGAGGTCGATTTTGATGCTTCCTGAAATTTGTAGAAAATGATTGTTAGATATATCCAGTAAAAATATATGGAATCCTTTCGTATACATATTTTCTTCAATTTAACATTTAATGTCCCAAACTCCCACAAACTGGAGAAAAGGATACGACCGTTAATCATATTTGCCAAAATTTACCTTAGTCTAAGGCACAGGGGCTTGTCTCGAGGGTCGGGCAAGCCCTCCGATGAGTGTGTACTGCTTTTTAAGAGGGCAAGGGAGGTCGATTTTGATGTTTCCTGAAATTTGTAGAAAATGATTGTTAGATACTGTAGATTGGGTTAATTTGGCGCCCGCTTTAATTTGGCGAATTTGGCGAAATTGAAAAATTCGCCAATATAAATCTTCGCCAAAATTTAGAATGAATCCCCGGGAATTATCTAGGGTATTTCGTCCAGTGTATTTAGGTCACTTCCGGTTAAATTTTTTACAAAAATATGAAAAAATATCTCTCATAAATTGGCTTAGAACTGGTCAGTCACTCATTAGTACTCAGGGAAAAGGTGAGGTAGTAGCAGCATCGATCGAGGTGCAAAATGTAAAGGATGATCTCACAAAAATGTACAAACATGGTGAATATCGCCAGTGGTCCTCAACTTTTGAGGACTTTTAAAGAATGAACATAGCCAAACATGCCCATTTACATGGTAGTTCGCTAATAGCGCAAGTATAACGTTGTATTAACATTTTTTTTCATATCCGCCAAATTAAATAGCCGCCAATATGCCAAAAATGGCAAAATCGCCAAATTAAGTAGCGCCAAATTAACCCAATCTACAGTATATCCAGTAAAAATATATGGAATCCTTTCAACAATCGACATGCTGATTCAAACAACACTACAGAGTAAAGTTACCCAAAATGGTAGCAATTGAATCCATCCACTTGTTGCTGAGAAATCTGAAGAATATGTAAAGAAGTGATAAAAATGAAGAAACCAACAATTTTTACCTCAAAATTATAAGCTTCAGAGTCGATTTCTTCCTCAAGACAAGTCCACTGTTAAAAATCGGTAGTTCCTAGAGTCCTTTGTTTCCTTAGGTTCATTCCCGTATATTATTTTTAACGAAGGACAGTCTATTACAACTGCTATAGGCAAAAAGATGCATGAAATTATCGTTTCGAAACTAAACGTTGAAAAATGGCTTGCCCGACCCTCGAGACAAGCCCCTGTGGTCTAATATAAGGACTTATGTCCATGGCACTTTTTTAAATTGGTAGAGACTTACTTTGGCGGTTTTTATCAATCAGCCAAATTGAAACAGCTGTCAAATAAAGCCATTCACAATTAGTAATATTTTTGACAGGGGTATGAATTGATGAGATTGCACACTGATGATTCAATAATGACATTGTGTTTTGAGACAATGCACGTCGGTATTATGCTTTTGGGTACAATGCGCATTGGTATAATGATGTAATCCCGCACCACTAGTATAAAGCTCTAGAATTTACGCCATGTTGTCATAATAGGACAGAAGATAGAATATGTTATGAACTCTGCTTATTTTTCAGAAATCCTATTGAATTAGGGAATATGGCACAAAATATCCAAAGCTATGTACCAGGCATTAGAGAGCTGAAGCTTGAAGAGCCAATGGATGCATCCTTAACACCTGGAAATCATACGGAGAGTGCTGCACAAAATACTGCAAATGCAGAGGTTGAAGGCTTTTTGAAAAGTGTTCTGGAGGACTTTGCGGCATCATATTCATATTTTAGAGGTTTTGTGAAAGGAAGACAGCAACTTGAAGATGCCATCAATGGGTTCAAAACAATCTCAAATTTGGATTTTGTAATCCGAGAGGCCCAACCATCCCCACTCAATGATGGAGCTCCATCACCACGTAATCAACTTAGCTTATTATTTCCTAAACCATGTAGTCATTTCAAATGTTTCATGTTGGGCCTATAACACTGAAAAGCTTCTTATTGTACAACATCTTGAATTGAACTATTGAACGTTTATTGAACTATTTTCAAATAATATCTGAATTAAGGAAGGATCGTGCTGTCTTTATTAAAGATATCGAAGGTTATGGCAACCTAGTATTTTTGCCCAAGCACAATAGAAATCAATATTCTATTACATTTTGATATTTTTGCAGTGTTCTATCAAGTTAAATGTCAATTCACTTATTATATTAGTGTTCTATCAAGTTAAATCATGTCAATTTACTAATTATATGCATCACACATTTCAGGGACATTAGCTTATAAATAGACTGCTATATTAGTTTGGTCGTAGATTTTACTGTAATTTTTATACTCTCTGCTTGCAGCAAAGATCTTCTGGAAAATTATAGGAAATTCCAAAAAACCAATTCACATTAAAGATAGGGGTCTGCCATTCAGAGTGGATTCATCGCTGCAGTACAATTGCCCATATGGACCTCAAAGAAAAGATGTGGTATGTACTATACCCTTCTCAAAAACTCAACGTTGCCTTAATTACACATTGTTTAAATTTAACCAATCAATATTTGGTCAGAATATCACGACTCATTTTCTGCATTTAAAATTCCAATTCCCACAAAAGATCCATTTGAGATGTTAAGATTTTGTTTGCATCGAAACCTTAGAAATTATCTAAAAGTGTAATATTAAGTGCTATTACATGTATTAAGCTAGCTGGTAGAGATTGAGGGGAATTTAAAATTGATTTAATATATTCCCTTGAACATCAATACTAGAATACATGTACAAATAAAAAGATGTGCGTGTGATGTGTATCTGCACTTATAATTTCATTGTTTTCAGGAAAACCCCAAAAGATATTGTCGAGCATCTATATATGTTAAGGAGATCAGATATTTCCCCCAGCATGGTGTGGCAGAGACCAGGGAATCCAGTGGAGGAACACTTACAACCAAAGTATGTACATTGCTTTAAAACTGAACAGTAAATTCGTTGCAAATTTAATTATCCTTCAAATGATGTATCATTGTTGGTGTGTTTGTTAAAAAAAATATTTATCAGGAATATTGGCTAGGGGGATGTTTTATTGGGCCACCCTGTATATACTTTCCATATTGAGCAAAACACGGGGAAATTGTTTTATTATAGTCAATGTTGATCATTTGAAAATGTACAATGTTTTACTCAGGAAGTGATGTCATCGACTCTCAACTTTCATGACCTTGCATATAACAGTATAGGACAGTAGCACAGAATCACTTCTAGACAAGTGGTCCTTACTTTTTGTAAAAATATTTTCAAAGCTTGTCAGCTTAGATAAAATCATAGACAAAATTGGAAAAGAATATTCAGCTGGTTTTGTAGTTCTTAATAGCTCCTTACCTAATGCTACATGCAAAGTTGAGAGTCGATGACGTCACTTCCTGAGTTGAATATTAAAAGATGGCAGCCTAATGGAATTCAGCACTACATTTTCAATTGATCAGTACTGACCATATCAAAACCAACCCTATAAAGTATATATATGGTTATAGGTACCATATTAGGAGAGAAAGGGTCTGACCAGGAATGTAGCTTTAACTGTTTAGACAGATAATCCCTTGATAAAATCCTGCAAATTCTGACCCATTGTTTTCAATACAGGAGCTGAAGGCAGCTGTAATTGAGGAACTACAGAAAGACAATAGTGCAGTGTTGGATCCTGAGAGTGTCTTCTATTTGGCATTTCCAAAGCTCCATAACAACCATTCCCCAGGAGATGAGTCTACACCCCACCAGAGCCAAAGTATGAATAATCATCTCTCAGTGCTTCATATTGACGAATTAATGTTTTTTCTGTGAGATTCACTGCTATTAATCCATCTTCCTATTTCTTCAACTTGTGACCAGAAACACTATTTTTAGGAAACACGTTTTCAAGTAAACTCTATTGAAATAGCATGGATGATGTTTCATTTCCTTTGTTTACTAATTACTTTTGTGTAATACATTTCACCACTGTTCACAGTATGAGTAGTAGTGTTGTCGCGATTAATCGATACATCGCGATATACATCGCCTAAGCTGATTCTGGCGATGCATCGATGTCTGAAACAAAACATCGATGTTTTTTAAAAGATGAATTTGCTAATAATCGTCCTTTCTTATCTTATTTTGACGCAAATCGCTTAGCTTTTTTCATGTCTTATTTCATTTTCCAATGTTTTGTAATATTCTTTCGCTTTAAAACTGTTTCAGCTTGTCGAAATGAACCATTAATCTAAAAAAATTACTTTAGTTTCATTTCACCAAGTTCCAGGAGGTACAAGCGTACTCTTATATTAATTTGTTCTGTTCGGTATTTTAGTGCATTAGCGTTCGGTATTTCAGTGCACTTTTCTCGAACTTTTTCTCGATGTACATTGCGATGTGCATCGATGTTTACTACTGAAAATTGCAGATGCATCGATGTACGATTATGACACATCGCGACAACACTAATGGGTAGTGCTTCAAATAATTAGTTCATTCTCAGAATTGAACAAAAGTTATTATTTTACAGTTGGTGAAGAATGCAGTGTTCAAGCCAGCAACCTGCAGTTTGCTTCATTTGAGGACATGGAGAAAAGGTTAGAGAAGTGTGGAAACTGTTGTGATCAGTACCATTGCCCTTACTGTCCTGACGTCAATTTTGTGCCAAGACCCAGGGTTAAAGTAGTAAACCACTTGAGAAAACATTGGGAAACAGCCATGTTTGTAGGTATGTGAGAGTTAATTTGGATTGAATATAATTGATACAATAAGGCGAGAGTGTCCGCAAAAAGTCAAATGTTATTCATAATTGATTTTGGTTTGATGCTGTCCCCAGCTCCGATTTCGGTGATCGGCTAGTAAAAAAGGTTTGATGGTATCATTTTGTTCCAGACACTCTCTAGAGTAAATTATCCTAACTTGAGTAAAAATGTGTGGTAAGTAAATTCACTATGGGCAGTTAAAGAGGCGCCATCTATTCATTTTCAAACAGGGGGTAGGGGTATTAAATAATTTTTAAAACATTTTAATAGTAAAATGACATTGAAATACTAATAAAATCTTATCAAAAACATTATTTACAATCAGTATGAATTTTCTTGTGTGAATTAGGGTGAAAATAAGGGCATATTTTTAAATTCACTACAGGGGCGCCACCTATTTTCATACTTCTACCACGTGTAATAACTTATTCTAGATTCGTTAAGGTACGAAATGTACTGAAAAAATTCATTCTGAAGGACCTATATATGTTCATACCACATACTCAAAATTGGATCAATAGCTTTTGAACTGGGGGAGAAAAAAATTATTGAAATTTAAAATTGTGGCATCATGCAGGATAGGGGTGACCATATCTCACATGATTAACTTCCAAAATATGGAGCATATGTATCTCAAATGTACTCAAAATGGTGTATGTACTCTTCCTTTGTCATAATATTACTAATAAGAAGTAGAAAAATGATTGTACATTTTAAAAAATATTAATTCTCATTTTGGCTTCTGACGTCCCAGGAGTGACCATATCTCACCTTAATAACTTCCAAAATATGGAGCATATGTATCTCAAATGTACTTAAAATGGTGTATGTACTCTTGCTTTGTCATAATATTACTAATAAGAAGTAGAAAAATGATTGTACATTTTAAAAAATATTGATTCTCATTTTGGCTTCTGACGTCCCAGGGATGACCATATCTCACCTTAATAACTTCCAAAATATGGAGCATATGTATCTCAAATGTACTCAAAATGGTGTATGTACTCTTGATTTGTCATAATATTACTAATAAGAAGAAGAAAAATTATTGTACATTTTAAAAAATATTGATTCTCATTTTGGCTTCTGACGTCCCAGGGTTGACCATATCTCACCTTAATAACTTCCGAAATATGGAGCATATGTATCTCAAATGTACTCAAAATGGTGAATGTACTCTTGCTTTGTCATAATATTACTAATAAGAAGTAAAATAAAAAATTGTACATTTAAAATAATATTGATTCTCATTTTGGCTTCTGACGTCCCAGGGGTGACCATATCTCACCTTAATAACTTCCAAAATATGGAGCATATGTATCTCAAATGTACTCAAAAAGGTGTATGTACTCTTGCTTTTTCATAATATTACTAATAAGAAGTAGAAAAATGATTATACATTTCAAAAATTTTAATTTTAGCTTCTTACGTTCCTGGGTAATCATATCGCACCATATAATAATAATCCTCAAATATTCTCAGAAAAGTCCTGTCTTTTTCATATTACTTATGAAATGTAGAAAAATGATTGCATTTTTTTATAAATCTTAAAGGGAGAATCAGAGATAGCGAGTAGGCTAATCAAAAAATTGTTTCAATTTTAGAATATTTTTGGCTCATGTCATTCCTTGTCATGTCTATTTTCTAAAAATCACAAAAGTGCATACTTTATTCAAGGAAAACGAAAGATTTTTACAATAATGTATTATTTTTCTATAAGAATGGTTACCATTCTTATTATTTGGGAGAATTTAAATCATTTTTGCACTTTGAATCATTAATAACTTTACCAATTTATAACATATTGTGAATCTTTTGGGAGATATTGTATTTGATATTGTAAGGAATAGATTGGTAGGTCAATTATGCACATTGCTTGTAATTTTGTCACCCCCTATAGATCTGATTCTGCCTTTAATTTTAGCCTCTGGTGTCCCAGGGGCTATCTCACCTTGATAACTCTCACGAAATGCAACATATGCATCTCAAATGTGTGCTCAAAATGGTATAAATATAGTCTTGTTTTGTCATATTTATTGAGAATCATAAAATCAACAGTTCAGAATCAATGGATTTTGACTGTCTCCTCTACAGCTACATATAATTCAGGGCAAATAATATCTGCTTTCAAATATTTGCATCTGCTCCCCAAACACCCTTTACAAGTACAATGGATGAGATTATTCCCTTGCATACCTTGGACCCAACATCTTTTGTAATCCATACAGGAATCCTTTTAGCCTGTCAATAGTGGGAGTACTTTACTCCATTCATGAAGTAATGGCAACTGCTAATGTAAGGTGTTAATATGTTATCCTGTGGCCTGCAATATATGCACGTTGGATTATACACTGAATTAAGGGATTTTGAGTATGTAAAATACGGGAAAAGGAGCTCTTTGTAATGATAAATCTTTCTAGCCACATTAACATTCTCTAGTTTGCATGTTTGTCATACAACATACATTGATTGTAATGAAATATTAATCTATGATTGTGATGTCCCACACTTCTAGGGTCCCAAAGAAGAGCTTAGCTTTTGGAACAATTGCATTATTCTTGGCACGGTAGGCCATACAGTGAATATAATTGTTGAGATTGGGCAATAACAATATATTACAACATGACAAACCATGCAAACTAGAGAATGTCAATCAGGATTAGAAGAGACTTATCGCCCTTGTAATTTAGCAGTGGGACAGTTTGGTGTATGTTTGGGCATAAATGTGCCTTTTAGGCCTAATTTTCAGGATATTTTCAAAATTTCGGGTCAGATTTGGGGTTAAGGGGCCAATTTTGGTAAATGAGGCTAGGCTACTCACACTACTGATAGGCTACCAGTATACAAAAGATCCAATCCAAAAGTCCAATCCATAAATTCTGAACTTCTGATTTCATGAATCTCAATAAATATGACAAAACAAGACTATATTTATACCATTTTGGGCACGCATTTGAGATGCATATGTTGCATATCATGAGAGTTATATCAAGGTGAGATATAGTTGCCCCTGGGAAGCTAAAATGAAAATTTCAATTCAAAAAAGGTGTAATAATTTTTTCTACATCTCATGAATAATATTATGACAAAGCAAGACCATATGCCCCATTTTTGGTATATTTGAGTTGTATATGTTACATAATTTCAGAAGTTAGTGAGGGACGTCAGAAGCTAAAATTAAATTTTTTTAAACGTATAATCTTCTTATTAGTATAATATTATGACAAAGCAAGAGTACATACACCATTTTGAGTACATTTCAGATACATATGCTCCATATTTTGGAAGTTATTAAGGTGAGATATGGTCACCCCTGGGACGTCAGAAGCCAAAATGAGAATTAATATTTTTAAAAATGTGCAATCATTTTCCTACATCTTATTAGTAATATTATGACAAGACAAGACTATATACACCATTTTGAATACATTTGAGATACATATGTTACATATTTTGGAAGTTATTAAGGTGAGATATGGTCAGTGGTCATCCCTGGAACGTCGGAAGCTAAAATGAAAATTAATATTTTTAAAATGTACAATCATTTCTCTACATCTTATTAGTAATATTATGACAAGGCAAGACTACAGAAAAACCTGTCTATGTGAACACCTCTCTCTAGTGAACACCTGTCCCTAGTGGACACCCTTCTAACGCACATAGTCCACTGACTTCTGCATAAATTACCCTCTCTGTAGTGAACACCTACCTACAGTGAACAATTTTTATTGGCAAAAAAATGTTCACTATACACAAGTTTTACTGTATATATACCATTTGAGGCTTTTTGAGCATATTTGAGATACAAATGCTCCATATTTTGGAAGTTATTAAGGTGAGATATGGTCACCCCTGGAACGTCAGAAGCCAAAATGAGAATTAATATTTTTTAAAATGTACAATCATTTATCTACTTCTTATTATTAATATTATGACAAAGCAAGAGTACATACACCATTTTGAGCACATTTGAGATACATATGCTCCATATTTTGGAAGTTATTAAGGTGAGATATGGTCACCCCTGGGACGTCAGAAGCCAAAATGAGAATTTATATTTTTTTAAATTGTACAATCATTTTTCTACTTCTTATTAGTAATATTATGACAAAGCAAGAGTACATACACCATTTTGAGTACATTTGAGATACATATGCTCCATATTTTGGAAGTTAATCATGTGAGATATGGTCACCCCTATCCTGCATGATGCCACAATTCTAAATTTCAATAATTTTTTTCTCCCCAGGTACAAAAGCTATTGATCCAATTTTAAGTATGTGGTATGAACATATATAGGTCCTTTAGAATGAATTTTTTCAGTACACTTCGTACCTTAATGAATCTAAAATAACTTATTACATGTGGTAGAAGTACGAAAATAGGTGGTGCCCCTGTAGTGAATTTCAAAATATGCCCTTATTTTCACCCTAATCCACACAAGAAAATTCATACTGATTGTAAATAATGTTTTTGATAAGATTTTATTAGTATTTTAATGTCATTTTACTATTAAAATGTGATAAAAAATTATTTTATACGCCTACCCCCTGTTTGAAAATGAAGAGATGGCGCCTCTCTAACTGCCCATAGCGAATTCACTTACCACACATTTTTACTCAAGTTAGGATAATTTACTCTAATGAGTGTCTAGAACAAAATGATACCCTCAAACCTTTTTTACTAGCCGATCACCGAAATCGGAGCTGGGGACAGCATCAGTTGTGAAACAGTCACACTCCTAAATTGATCATGTTAGCAACATTTGAAATCATTGTTGATATCTTATCAGCACCAAAACTAAAATCATTTTAAAAAGTCAGAGGTAAGTTTGGGAAAGTGATGAGAATTCAGGGAACCATATTCTCTCTTATGAGCGCACATGTGACTTTTATGTTGAAATATGGTCTCAAGAAAACACGGATGTTTAATGCATTAAATTATTTACTTAACAAGATATTGATTGATGATTATTTTTAATGCAGAGAAAGAAATACTTGAGCTGTAGTGATAACAACTTAAAATATAACTAATATCTGCAATATTTTTTTCTAATACGTTTTTTTATTTTGTTGCAGATGGAGTAAAGATCATGATGTGTAGGAATCTAATTGACCAAGGCCAGAAATCTCATTTCCATTGTCTTTGTACCAAAGTCTACTACAAAAAGAAAACATTCACATCCCACATCAAGGAGTGTGGCTTTTGCGTAAGGTAAGAATATCTCTGAAAATGAAAATTAGAATTATTAATGACTTCCTTCATATGACTGGGTTTTACCTCAGTTCAGTAGACTACTCTCAGAAACTTAGACATTCAACCTATTTCTTCCAAAGGAGTAAAATAAGCTACTATTAACCCTTTCGTGACGTGAATTTAGGAGGAAAATGTTGGCCTGGTGACGGATAAGCAAGATCATCTTTTAGGGAGAATCTGGAAATTACCAATACCCCGGGGCCTATACTTAAAATTATAATGCTGGGAATGCTTCCATTAAATGACGTGGATTCTAACTGATATCTTGGATTTTTAGAGGTCTACAATTAGATGGCCCTGGCAATGATGCAAATGCCTTTTCCAATGATGCTATGGATACTCAACCAGCGATTGGCCGTCCAACATATGGATCAACACCAGTCTATAGCATACTTGGAAAACGGATGAAAGATGATCCAAGCAACTGGTATGTATCCCTTATAGAGGTGAAAATATATAAACAGGTTAAGCACAACCTACTTAATGTTTTTCCTAGTTATCTTTTCCTTGCATACTTTTTGAAAACACTAAGAATTTTACTTATGTCAAATAAATGGTTTGAAAATAGAATGGCAATGATTCTGAAAAGTCACCCCATTATTCAAGAGACAGTGTAACCTATTGCTTACAATCTAGAATTCAAGAATCTACATGTAGTTGCTGGAAAACTGGATCTGTTAATTTAGAGAAGTACAGTAGAGTACAGCACTTCTTTGTTGTTTTTTCAGTGGAGATGGCATCGTGAATGGTGTTAACTACAGCCAGAGTGAACTAGAGAGGAGCCTTAGCCTTATGCAGCAGACCAAGACAATGTGTGATTTAGTTATACGTATGGACAGAAACATCACATTCTGTGTACATAGACTACTATTTTGTGCACTGAGCGCCATGATTAAAGAGACCTGTTCTTCCCTGCCTCCTGATCATGTGACCGATCCTAATGCACCCTGGGTATTGGATTTCTCTGGAACTGGAGTCAGCCCTCAATCCATGTCTGACGTCATTGACTATGTCTACGGGAGGAACCTGAATCTGGATACCAATAGAGCAGGCATCAGAGCAGCTGCCAAGCTGCTTGGTATGCCATCTTTAGTGGCACTCTGTAATCGAAATGTTGAAGGAAACATGAAGAAAACAACAGTAGTTAGAGTGGTTGATATCATGAGGCATGATGGTTCACCAAGCAAAAAATTCAAAAAGTAAAACTTATGGAGCACAATCTTTTCCACTTTGAGATAAATAAGACAGTGTTGTATTGTACAATTCAATATAATTAGCTATCATCTTCAGTCCAAACCAGGTTATGGCTATGGAATTAAGTATTCACTTTGCTATATGAGACAATAGACATTCTCATTCCATTTCATATGCTTCATAATCTTATTTGCAGAGAAATTCATATTTTTTGATCTGCTCAAGAGGAGAAAATAACCTAGGATTCAAAGATGAACCTACCTCAACATGAAGGTAGCTTCATCTTTCAATTCAGGTTATTCCCTGCTTGATCGGCCCCTAAACTGGAATAGTTAGGGGATTTATTGATGTAATCTTGGTATTCTGTTTGTTGAAAGTAATGGAAAGGACATATTTAGGGTGAAATGTAGATGAAGTGTCCCTCTCAAGTTATGATGATCAATTTATGTAGAATATAAGTGTTATATAATCTAATAACGAGCTAAAGAATTACATCCTCCAAACACAAGACTATGAAATTGAGACTTCTTCTATCTCTTGCCTGCGGTGAGCCCATGTTTCTAAGAGCCATCATGTCAGTCTCTCCATGGATCACTATGTATGTTTATACAGAAGTCTATATAAAGCTATATAGACATGAGGTGTATAAAGTTAATTTCAGAATATGTTTAAAAAACCAAACATTTACGAATATCCATTTTCTCCTTTTGAATGGGACTGAAGTTGGAGTATGTATCAAACACACTCTTCTCATGATGAGAAGCGTTAGTTTGAGTTATGTAGTCCTGTTTTTGGAGGATGCTGATTTTAAGTTAGGCGATTTATTTTTGTATGTTTATTGCTTCATTTATATTATCACACAATATCATTTGTAAATAAAGGTCAATTTGCCAAAACTAAGTCGAGTTGCCAAAAATATGTCAATTTTAAAAATGCAAATGTTTAAGTTCACCTGATTCTTTTGTGTAAATGTTGTGCCATGTGAATTTTCCAGTAAACTTTATTTGGAATATTACTTCTTTTTTTATTATCTCTCATTAGATCGTGCCAGATGGAGTTAAAAATTTCATTTCTCTGTCATGAGAACATAATATAATGTGCCTGTACAGTCATTATAAGTACATGGAATAAACAAATATTAGAATTTTGAGTAAATCAGATTTAGTGTAATATTTGTATTTGTTAATTCTAGAATGGTCATTTTCACTAGAAAGCTCATAGAAGAGGTACAGTGAAGTCTTCCATCTATCCAGAAATATTTTCTCATGCATACTAATTTTCTTCCTATTTTCATTAACTCAAAGAGGGATAAAATAAGCCATTTGTGCATTCGTCTGTCTGGGTGATGATAACTCAGATGCCAGTTGACAGATTAGTTTCACATTTTATAGGCTGATGACAAAGGACCTCTGATTGAAGTTAGGAGAGCTATAGAGAATGGCTCCCATACACCCTTCCATACATCTGTCTGTCCAGGCAATAACTCTGTTAGCCCAATCTTGTTTATATTTAATACATATAAGTTCTGCTTGAAAGCCAATTTTCAAAATGGCCGGTGACCATTTTAGTGTCAATTTTACAGTATTTTAGGTGCAACATATAAAATTGTAATATTGATATGTTTAAAATGCAAAACAATTATATAGGATATTGATTAAGTTGATAATTTAATTATTTTTTTAAAAGAAACATGGTGGCCATCTTATTTTACATCTATCTTATGATTTTTGCTGTAGCTGGAAAAAAAGTAGAGCAATTTTGTTCATACTTGATATGTGAAATTTCATAAGTATGGCACACTGTCTAATGACACTTTGGCTAGAAGGTGGCCATTTTGAATAATTTTATGTGATGTTTTATGTTTTTTACTATAGCTCAAAAAGGTGTGAAGCAATTTTTTAATGTGGCTACTTAGAAGCATTACACTTTTCCATGACAATTTGGCAAGTGGGCGACCATTTTGGAAAATAGGGGCAATTTTAATGTGTGTTATTTTTATGTCACCATAAAAAAGTGGTGACATATTGTTATGGTTTCCATTTTTTGTGATGATGGTTGGCAATCGGCAGTTGACGTCTGTTAAAAATTCTTACAACTACTGTTTTTTTAAATCATCTACAAGTTATCAGAAGTTCAACTTTTTTCAACTTGCTTCAACTGCCCAATTTTTTTCCTCAAAAGTTCAAATCGAACTGTAGATTTGATAGATTCATTATATAGTGAGCAACTGGGTGGTGACATTGTCATGTTAATGTCTTGTTTTAAAGTGTTTTGCTTTGTGTGATAAGAATCTATTAATTTTCATCTCTCTAAGTGGTGAGATATTGTTATAGTCTCCAGCTTTTTGTGGATGCCATCTGGTGTCTGCATGGCATTTGAACAAATAGCAGGTGGTGATATTTTTCAACATTAACATATCTAGAGGAATATTCAATTTACTTACAGTATATGAAATCTACCATTTGGTTTTAAGAACTCTGATAAAAAAACTAATATTTCAAGTTGGAATATAATAATCTAAATCTTGTGTGTTATTACTATTATATTTTCCAAATCATGCTAATCCTAAGGTGTTTTTTTGTTGATCATAATATGTACTTCATATTTAAAGGAATGGAGTAATTAAGAAAGGAAAATAGACAGCCAAAGAGTATAATTCAGTATAAGTCAGCATAACACCTTGAAAATCTAAATCATAGAAGTAATCTATTTTATTTTACTTTACTTCTTTTAAATTATCCAAATTTAACCTCACTTCATTCGAGCCATTTGTCTAAATTACTCTGTATGGTGCGGGGTTAGGATGAAGCACTTTAAGATAAGTTGGTCTAATAAGTAAGTACACTGCCATATTTGTGGTCTGGTATGCCACTGTGTTTGAAAAAAGAATGCTCAGAAGTTTTACCAAGACTCCTTATAGATATATGATGCATCTTTTGGATTCATAAATTTCAATGGCTATCAAATGAAAGTAAATTTAACATTTTCTAGTTGTTATGTCAAAAAAGCTCAAGAATATTTTGCTGTACAATATTTACCCATGGGTACTAAAAGTTAAGGCAGTATACTAGGTTAAAGGTAATTGGATGCAGCGAACACTTATCTGTCAGCCTTCTCCGACATAAATAATGAAAATAGGGATTTCCACTGCTTTCCATTAATGAACAGTGGGAAATATTGATTTTGTGGTGTATTCTGAATCTAATTTCTGGGATTTCCGTGTTCTTCAGACTATCCATAGAGGTCATTTGTACATTAAAGTCTTACTGTAATGTAACTGATAACAGGGCATAATCATTTATATAAAACATCTCAGACTAAATAAGTCTTATCAGTAAATGATTGGGTTGGAGCTGATTATCATTAAAGCAGTGGTGTACTACGATAAACAATTCTAAGTCACTACAACTTCAAACCACAAATACCTCAAATAAAGCTAGACCAAGGTGAAATATAATTCTATAAGGATTTCTGAACATGGCATCGGGGTAAGTTGTAGTTTTATGTGACTTGTTATTAATCTCTTAATCCAATGGCATGGAGTCAATGACCTTGATGAAGTCATGCATTACATATGTTGTACAAAATACATTTTGGTTATTATCTCACCCTTTGGGTGCTATATTGTGATCAGTTTGTTGGTACTCATTGGTGGATCTGGTGGACCCCTTGGGTGGGCCCAGAAAAAAAATTGTTACTACTACATTTTCTCGAATAAGCCCATGGGCCCTGAAATCAATGAGTGTTTTCCCTTGTGATAAAAGTCCATGGGGCATATTTTGAAAGGTTGTTTAAAAAGGAAATGCTGCAGACTAGGGGGAAGTTAGGTACTTCATTTTTTTTTATTAATGTTAAAACAAAGCAAAATACAGCCGTCCCAAAAAATGTACTGAGATAAGATGAAAAAAATCTGATGAACAATTTATTTTCATAAGTATTTCAAAGTTTCAATGGGTAACTTTTTTTAGTTTTAGAGAAGATTGTTTTAGTACCATCACCTATTTTTCAAATTGCATTCATTCTGTATCATGTGAAAAGTTCTACTTTCGATGAAGGAAAGAGTTATTCCCATCTCATTTGGGTATATTTTTGGGACACACTGTAATATTAAATAAATATTTGTACAAAATAGCAACATTTTAGACATACATGTACAAAATTAGGTCCAATAATTTGAGAATTAGTTTCAATATGGACATACCCCAAAGGTGTTATTGGAAAATCTTGTATTGGTTTTTTGGCTTTATTTATGTACACAATGGTATGATCCAACAATAGAATGCATCTATTATTGCACCCTGTTATTGGAATTCTACACTTCCTTGGTTAATAAATGAAATCATTGGTTTTTATTGCCAATATACAATAAAAGTGCTCTGATCAAGGTTCAGTTTTTTCATGGTGCAAATAAAAAGCTGTTTACTGAGAATTTAATACAGGGATTTCAGTTTAAGTACTTGAAGTTTTACAATATAGAGAGGTAAAGAAACGTACAATTATGGCTACCATTGATGCTGGAAAATATAAGAGGTATGTTGATTTTAGATGCATTATTAGATGTGCTGTTATTGTATTCAGGAATACCATGTATACAAAGGCATCAACGATCCAATTGCATTGTTGGCCTGCCTGTCTGATACCATGATTATCAGCTCAAGCACAATGCATCTACATAAAGTTATCATAATCTTAATCTATGTACAGTGTATTTGACATTGATAAGCTCAAGAATCATTGTACATCAGCTCAATTGAAATGAGCCAAAGACATAATATGTCAGCCTAAGCTGACTCTTGAGTAAAACATTACATCTTGTCAAATAAAACAAAAACATCCCCCAAGCATATTTCTCCACATGGTTGAGGATTGGGTTAGAAATGGTAATGAGGGGAACAGAGCCTCAATGGAGACTAAATACAATACTTTGAAATGCTAATTTTAATATTAAAGGGACACTAATATGCTCTGTTAATAATATAATAATATTTTTAATTAACCAGTTCACAGCCCATCTGAGGTGTAGGCCTTCATAAATTGCATTATTTTTCCTTTCTAGCTCTCCAATCCACATCCCCAACCCCCATGTGCAGGGAATGACAGAGGATGTTCTCTATCACTTAGCACTTGGTACCAACTCTCATGACCTGCCATCTATGTTTGGAGATCTTAAAGTAAGAGATTGTTTTGTGGTTTTACTCTCTCAGGCACTCCCCAATATTTCTCAACATATTTGTCATATGGTATTTTAAGATATATGACATTCTCACGGCTCTTTTTTGTCAATTTAATTTATATATTCTCTTATATGTCATGGCAGAAAGGCTTAATAGATCACATGTTTATCAATCAGTTTATATATTGCAGTTTGTTTGTGTTGGAGGTAGTCCTAGAAGGATGGAAAAGGTTGCGCTGTACATGGCAGATGCCCTAGATATAGATATCCCTACTGGCATGGCACTCAACAATATTGGGCATGGCAAGGCTCGCTACGCCATCTATAAAGTAGGACCAGTCTTGGCTATTAGTGTAAGTGTTTCATAAAACCCTGAGCTGTTATACAACAAATTCATATGAGAAGAAACAGTTTGAATGAAGTAAAAACAGAAAACAGGAACATATTATTAGTTTTTATTGTCTGTGGTCAGTTAATATTGATATATATACAATTTATTTACAGAGTTTGAAGACACAAAAAATGATCATGAGCAGTAATGCCTCGAAATCCCAACTGAGATTTTTAAATACATCCTAACATTATCTTAGAATACAACATATTTTCATTAGTTATTATCTGCATCAAATATGTAATGTACGATTTGTTATGTTTGCAGCATGGTATGGGACGACCCTCTATGTCTATCATGATGCATGAGTTGTTCAAGCTTCTCCACCATGCTGGATGTACTGGTGTGACACTCTTTAGGGTGGGCACTTGTGGAGGTCTAGGTAAGGTTTCTAATATACAGTATATATATATATCTTTTATTGACTTTTTAGATGTCATGACCTGACATGTTAGTCATACAATCTTACGACTCCTTTGCTAAGTTATGCTTTGGAGAAAAAATTAGGATCAGAGTAAGACCCGAGCAGGAAGGATTATATTTAGCAGGGGAACTTGCATAGTTCAATACAGTCAGAAAGTAACTCTGAAACAAGAATTTGAACTGAACTACAGTAAAACCTGTCAAATCCAAACACCACTGGGACTGGCCAGGTGTTCAGATTGGTAGTTAAAACATTCTGAAATTTTTATATGGTAATCAATGGCAGATTGTTCACATTGAGAAGTCTTCAAGAATGATCAGATATAAAGGTTTTACTCTAGGTATTAATGTTATATTGTCACATAAGAAATGTACCTCAAATAAAATTGGAATGTGGAGAGCACAATCAGCCCAACCCATATAAAATGGCAGAACCAAACACAATTTAATGTTATGTGTTGTAGGGTTAGAGCCTGGCAGTGTAGTTGTAACTGAGGAAGCCTTGAGTCCCTTACTACAACCTTCTTATGATCAAGTAAGCAGACTCATTTGTTTGTTTAATTACTTTGAGGGTCCCTACCAAGACATAATTGTCAACCTCATAAATGTCTCATCTTATGTACATATGTGCTTAAAATTACTCAGTCAGTTTGGCAATGTTTTTGAATGGAATGACCCATAGATGAATTTGCATTGTTTTTCAAGTTAATAGAAATTGAATAGCCTAGATAATACATATATTTGTAGATTATTCTGGGCAACGTAGTGTCTAGACCATGTGTTCTTGACAAGGACACAGCCAATGACCTCATGGGTTGTGCTTCCACAGAAGATGAATTTGCAACTGTTAAAGGCAAAACTATGAGTGCAGATGACTTTTATGAAGGTATGATCCCTTATTTGTGCTCAGCTAAAATGACTAACGAAACAAGCTCATGATAAACATTAATTGATTCTATGATGAATGCTTATATCAATCTACCCAGAATTGCAATTCATGATTTTTATGTCACCACCAAAAAGATATTGTTATGGTCTCCATTTTTTGTGACTGCGATCGGTGGATGGCGGTTGGTGGTTGGCAATCGGCGTCTGTAACAATTTCTTACAACTTCTAATAACTTGACAAATACTCTTTAGACTGACTTCAATTTTTTTCAAAATCATCTACAAGTTTTCAGAGGTTCAAATCTGAATAAAGATTTGACCTTCAATGACATTTTCAAGATCAAAACAGATTTGACCTTCAATGACCTTCTTAAGGTCAAAAAGGTCTTTTTTCAAATTGACCAATTTTTTTCAAAATCATCTTCAAGTTCTCAGAAATTCAAATCTGACTTTAGATTTGAGATTTCACCTTCAATGACCTTCTCAAAAAAAAATTTGTTCTATATCGACCTAAGTTCGAACTAATGATATTGTGAGCAACTAGGTGGTGACATTTTGTCATGTTAATGCCTTGTTGTATAGTATTATGCAACACCTTTGTTGTGCTTCATATTGCAAATTGTCTTTTCAGATTTTTAGAGTTTATTCCTTTTGTAGTCATCATTTATTTCACAATTTATTTTCCTTTCAGAACAAGGTCGTTTAGATGGTGCATTATGTAACTATACAGAAGATGACAAGATGGCTTATTTAAAACGAGCACATGACCTTGGAGTGAGAAACATTGAAATGGAGGCAGTTTGTTTTGCAGCTTTGTCACATGCTGTTCAGTTAAAAGGTGGGTAGTATAACTAAATTAGGTCTAATGTTAAGAAGTAACCACAATGTTATATTGAAATCATTTTATTTTTGATCAAGCTTGTGTGATGTTGCATCAAGATTGCCTTATTAATGAATGACTATGATTAAGGTATAGTATATGTAATAGTACATGAATCATCAAATGAAATCAATGTGTTATCTGTTTGAAATTCCGGTGGTTAGAGTATAGCAACAAAGTCATACTGACATCAATTGCAACCAATCCCAAAATTCTCCAACTTTGCCCACCTAAGTACATGAAGTATTTCCCATGGTTTCCATTTCAGGAGCTGTGGCATGTGTGACTCTAGTTGACCGCCTAAAAGGGGACCAAATAACATCATCAGCTAAGGACATGGAAGAATGGCAAATGAGGCCACAGAAACTTGTTGCCAGATATATTAGGAAAAACCTAGGCTTACCACCAAAGGACATGCCTTAGAGGTCAATGTCATGCGTGATAGATCCAGAGACATCAGTATTGTCTACGTATTAGATCTAAACATTATGAATGTTTGTTATCCTTGGACAATTCATCCATTTTGATATCCATCTCAATACAAGGGGTTGCGATGTCTTTTCTATTTATGTTTTGTTACATCTAGTCTAGGGAAAAAGATCTTATTGTTTATTTATTACTTATTTCATTGGTTATTGTCGCCTGTAGTCTGTATTTAAGTATAAACAAATACATAGGTAGTGAGCTAGCACCGAAAAATGTATCGGTTTCTGAACAAATTGATTTTACTTGTTTCTTATGTATTTTTATGTGATACTTCAGAAATTTTTTGTCTGACACGCCATATCTGGGGCCAAAGTTGTCAAAATGGGGGTTTTAATCCCGAAATGGAAAATTACAAGGGATACATTATCATAACTGAATAATTCGTTCAGTTGATCTTCAATCATCATAATAATTTTATTAAGAGTTGATGTGATCACTCTGAGGTCGTATGGAAAGTTTCAATGGTCTGTCACTCACGGTTGTCATGGAAACCACAATTTTTGTTGAAAAAATCCTTCATTTTAGTAAAACCTGTACCTGTACATAATATAGAATGTGGATTATTTTTCAAATCAACAGATATTTGAATATTTTAGCACTCTCAAACTCATTAGGGCAATTCAAACATTTGTTTAAATATAAAGGATATTGCTTTATAGTGTTTGTCCACCAAGATGTCTCATGACCAAATATCTTCCAGTGAATGCTTTTAATATGAGTGTTTGTAAAAACTATAAATGAGATTCACTTTCAATTTATTATTAATAAAGAAAAATCTTGATTTCCACAACAACAGTACATGTATTTATCCTATAACACCACCAGCTCATAATTAAATCAACAATTGCAATAGTTATAGGCTATAGTATGGATAAAACTAATAATTGTCATTTTCAAGGGAAATGTATTCCTCTGGATAGCATTGTCAGTCGTTATTACTGTCATTGGTATTTTTATGTGTCATAAGGAATAGGGATGTTTCTTTCCTCTGAGTGAAGGGCACCAGACTTCATCGACTGTTTCTTCTTTTGTTGAATGATATTTATTGCATTATCACGTTCTTGCCAATGGGAACACAATGTAGCCATGTCATATGAGATAATTAAGAATAATACAAAACTGTTCTGAGGGAAAATAACAAAATATTTAGGTTAGATGTTTTGCTATTACAGGACACAATGAATTGTACCTGATCTATTGCACTTGTTTCTTGTAAGCTAGCCTTTAACGTCCCGATGTAAAGTTTGAAAATATGTTTTTCTCATTCACTTTTTACTCATTGTCATATTTTTGAAAACGTTTCCTACCATTTTTCAAATAAAAGTTGAAATTTTTAGCCTAATCATTAAATATTACATTATACAGTGCAAAAAACATTATCTTTTTAACACTACTATGCAACGATCGAACAAAGGACACACTATTTCAATAATAAAATGTCATATCTGATGTGCCATTTCAATGTTTTAACATATCAAAAATGTTTTGCAACCTAAGTGACCTCATCGTGACATCACTCGAGCGACGAAAACTTTTTAAAAGAATTGAAATTCTTTCTGTGTTAATCTTTTCTAAATATGCTTAACTTAAAAAAAAACAATGTCGATTGTCTAACCAGATTAAAAGGAAGAATATATCCTGATTTAAATATTTGATTATAGTACCTTTGGTTTCTATGAGAACTTAAATTTTGAAATGCATTTTTCTCTTACCATCTTCATAAATGGATGAGTTCACTTCATGCATATTTATGAACCAATTTTTAAGGCAAAAAACATGTGAGGATGACTGCTATGTGTTTGTGTGAATTATCGTTTTTCAAAATAAGTGATAAGTGTTATCTCTAAAAGTTTAAATAAATTCATCATTTTCAAACAAAAGTTTTACATACTTTGATAACATTTGGTAAGACTACAATATAAGCCAAAGTGGTTTAAACTTTATATGGGGCTCCTTATATTCGGGCTACAATCTTCTAAAGCTGCAAACAAGAATATCATGCTTTAAATTACTTTCAAATTATTGACTCCTTAGTCCTAGAGTTAAATCCTTTAACATTTATATCAATTTATGTAGAATTTTAGGCCATGCCCTACTGTATGAAAGGATAAGTGTAATATAGAACCTTTGGGTCTCTATAGTAGGCTAAGTTGTTTGGGATAAAGTTGATCAAGTGAATAGACTGAGCAATTAACTATTGAAACCTTTTTATCATCACAGATTGAAAAGAATATTTTGAGTAAAGTATACATACGTAAGGCAAACATACAATAAACAGAGATATAGTTCATAGGATATGAAGTGGGGACTGTTGTACATGTTAAACATCGTTTTTAGGGATTACTATATCTGAAATAAGGTTAGTGCAAAAAGCTTTGTTTTACTTATTTGAAATGAAGAAAATATGGATTTTGATTTGATATTAGGAGTATTTAAATAAGTCAAGTTCACAAAGTGTAAAACCTTAAGGTTCAGCTGGAAAGTAACATTTTGGTAAAAATTGCAATACCTGCACATGTTATTTTCTGGTACAAAATTAAGTATGAAGGCATGTGTGTATTTCCTTGCTTTTTTCAGGAAAGTATCATTACACTGTCTACTTTAGTAAACCTGGAAACGGGCCAGTGGTAGCTCCTGTGTTGTCTGGAAACTTTGAAAGAAAATTTGGAAAAATAGAAAGTGTGAGATATCAGATTTTCCTGGAGTTCCCATTGAACTCCTACCAGATATTCTAAAAGAAGACAATGTAATGATACTTTCCTGAAAAAAAGCAAGGAAATTGACAAACGTCTTCATACTTTATTTTGTACCAGAAAATAACATGTGCAGGTATAGCAATTTTTCACCAAAATGTTATTTTCCAGCTGTACCGGTTATTCTTTCCATTCAACATTTTGGTAAAAAATTGCTATACCTGCACATGTTATTTTCTGGTACAAAATAAAGTATGAAGGCATCTGTGTATTTTCATGGTTTTTATCACACCATCGGTGGGATATAGTCGTCATACTGGTCGTGGTCGTGATCGTGATCGTCCCGCTTTTTGTCATCGCCGTTTAAGGAAAACTGCTCATCAGATTTTCTCCAAATTCGCAGAGATGATAGAGCATATGAAGTACTAGAGCTGATTAACTTTTGGGTGGCCATCTTGTTTTCTGGCGGCCATTTTGAAGGTTTTTCGAAAAATCTTCTCATCGCCATTTCAGGAAAACCGCTCATTGGATTTCCTTCAAATTTACACAAATGATAGAGGATATAATACTAGAGCTGATTAAGTTTTGGGCGGCCATCTTGTTTTCTGGTGGCCATTTTGAAGGTTTTTGAAAAATCTTGTCATTGCCGTTTCAGGAAAACCGCTCATCGGATTTCCTTCAAATTCGCACAGATGATAGAGGATATCAAGTACTACAGGGCGTCCACAAAAAAAGTATACCCAACTTCAATGCCAGGTTGCTAGAATTCTGAGCAATTTTTCTAAAATACAAAGGTAGCAGTAAAAGGCCTAGTTTGTCCTCCATCCAATGGTACCTAGATCATTTTGTAACTGTCACTGTTGACTGAGCAATCATGACTTTTATGAAAGGTTGTAAAATCAGCAGTGTGCCAAGTGTTATATTTACGTTATGAGATGTTGTTATATAAAATCCAACATAAAATGTTAAATGATGTTCCAATATTTATTAATGTTCAGGATAAATCCTACGCTAGTTGTAAAAGTTACATGTTGATATTATCCTGTTTCTTAGCTCAAAAGCTAACGGTTTTAAGTGTTAATTTAGAATTTCGATAGCAAGTTATGTATTTTTGAAGTTTAAATCTAAATGATGTTTGTGTTGCTTAAACCAAGAATGTCCGAAAAGGTGATTCTGTACTGGAAAGATGCTATATTAACCAGATTCAAAAGAATGTTAAGACCGCCTCTTTTCCATACAAGGAATGCTAACGAAAGTAACACTCTTAAAATTTGAACCATACAATACAAGTTAGCATTCAAGTAGGAATGACACTGTGAATGTTTTTTTGTGTTAAAAACATTGTTAATGTTCAAATTGATACTTGTTTTATGTTCTTTACACTTTTACATAATTTTCCATAACTTTTAGTTGGTACCTCCCTCTCGAGAAATTGGATCCGAAGAGTCTCTTGAACAGCAATGAAACTTCTACAATGCTGATATGCAGCTTTGAAGTCAATTGTATCCCCATGTAAAGTCAATAACCCTTGCTGAAATCCTCATTTTCTCAGAACAACTCGAGTTTATTGAGGCTAAACAAGTAGATTCATGTTGGACAGTATTGCCAGAATCCATTTTCAATAGTGAGAATAGGGGTTCTATAAACAGTACACGGGACTTGCTTTTTAGAACCTTTTGTTGGCTACTGCTCAGGTGTCAGTTGAACCATTTTTACAGGCCTATTTTAAAGTAATTTAAGCTTTTTGCGGAACCTTTTTTCATAAGAGAGTTACTTAGTCCCAAGTCCAGTTCAGTATGGAAGGCCTGTCCTCTAACTTAATGTAACAGAAAAAAGAATACTAAGCCAATTACACATCAATTGCCAAACAGGAAGGTAACTTGGCACAGTGCTAGATTTACCACCTCTCATAATGGTCAAGATTACCCAGTCATACATGTCATTTACATTATGATCTTGGTTCCATTTGATGGAGAATAAATCAGGCTTTTTACTGCTACCTTTGTATTTAAAAGAAACTGCTTAGGATTCTAGTAATTTGGATTTGAAGTTGGGTATACTTTTTTTGTGGACGCCCTGTAGAGCTGATTAACTTTTGGGCGGCCATCTTGTTTTCTGGTGGCCATTTTTAAGGTTTTTCGAAAAATCTTGTCATTGCCATTTCAGGAAAACTGCTCGTCGGATTTCCTGTACATGATAGGGGATATCAAGTTCTAGCACTTATTAAATTTTGGGTGGCCATTTTGTTTTCTGGCGGCCATTTTGAAGGTTTTTCGATAAATCTTCTCATCGCCATAATAGGAGAACAGTTTTCCTGGTTCATAGTGTCTGGTGTGATCTCGTTCACGTCCTGTGCCTTGTTTCAGGAAAGTATCATTGCACTGTCTTCTTTTAGTAAACCTAGTAATAGGTCAATGGTAACTTCAGGAAATGCTGATATTTCAAGAAAAATCATTCAAAATGGCCGCCTTTTCAATTTTCCAAATTAATTGTTCTCCAAGTTTCTCCATAACACTGGATTTCCAATGACCAATTCCAAGGTTTGCTTAGAGAAGACAATGTAATGATACCTTCTTGAAAAAAGCAAGGAAATAATGCCTTCACATGCCTTCATACTTTATTTTGTACCAGAAAATAACATGGGCAGGTATAGGAATTTTTTCAAAAATTTGGGTTGGAAAGAATAACCTTAAAACCTTTCCTTAGAATCCTCCAAGACCTTCAGAATTGTGCCGATTTTCAAGTCAAAATGAGTGTCATTTTGGCATGTAAAATACTGCACCATTTAAAGGTTTGCGTGAGACCCCCCTCACCAGTAGCAGTGGGACTCACACGGTCCTAACTCACCGGGGCGTATCGAAACCAAAACGCCCCGCAAAACCGTTAATTTGAATTTCAAATCTATCCTTTCTTTGGAAAATCAATGATTGTGCGTCTCAAAGTACACCGTTTTCCTTCAAACTTGTTCCATTAAAACCTTCACAGAAATGCCTTTCACTCGAGACATTGCTTTTGTGTACAGAGTCACTCGTTTTAGCGGCGTTTTGGTTTTGGTTCCCAGATGTGAGATGATGCAAATCCTCAGAGATTTCAACCAAAAGCCTCGATATATCGCCAGTTCTTTAATTATTCTCCCCATATTTTGCACAAGGACTCCCATTAGAACACTCCATCTCTTCGTCAACATATTTATTACATTGAACGCAGCAATTTCCAAAGGTCCTACGCATCTGTTCGAAATTGATCAAAACGCCCCGTTCTCTTCCAAAACGCCCCGTTGGATATCTATACAACTTATCTAGATACTAAAATATGACAGGTTCTAAGCTGCTGATAATTTGTAAACAAATCTGACTAATATCTTTCTTCTAACTAGTATTATGCGAAAAGGGTTTTTTTGCATTTTGCATTTGGTTAAGTTGGCTCTCAAGCACGGACTTGAAGCACCCAGTGGCATTTGGACCATTCCTTGTCCACGTCACAATGACATGTAAATGAAAGGCATCCAATGAACCAACTAATGAATTGCTTTAATCCCTACAAGGCATTTCAAGTCAAAGTGCCCCTATTTTCATGGGTTAGCTCCATTATAACAAGGACGTCTATCTATCGTCTATCTAGGAGATAGACGTCCTTGATTCATAATGACTTGCATAAAGTAGACGATCAATTACTATATTTTGGTTGCATAGTGATTAAAAATGTATCACGAGACGACTATTTTCAGTGAAGGAGCGGATGTATAAGAGTGTATCGGTATAATTAAATATTTTTGCCTTGGATGTCATATAGTAAAATTAAATTATGGCATGAACATAGTCGTGGCAAAATGTTCTATGTGCTATAATATTGCATATCATCCCGAGTGTAAAGTTGAAGATGATGATATGATACGCATTACACGACGCACGTATGCACAATAAAAAGATAATTTGGAGAGAATACGCTAGACAAGGATGTAAAAATATAAAAACATTCTTGATAGGACAAGCTTTTTAAAACACAAATAGTGTTTTATCATTTCAAGTAGTAACTGCATATCTTCATTTAATTGTGTGATGAAAAATGTAAAAAAGTTAAAACCACTCTGTTTAAATGCAGGTATATAAATAAGCTTAAATAAATAAATATGCTGCAATGGTTGAGTCTTTCTGTGAGAGTACTAGTGATCACAAAAGTATATCATTTTTCAGTTGCATCAGAAATATAAAGAACATGTTTTGTTTTGTATGTCTCTGGTTACATGTACATCATTACATTAACTGATCCGCTCTCGGTCGATAATTTATAATTCATACTGTTGAAAATGCATGAATTTAACATGGCATGCTATAGCTGTAGGGGTGTAGTTCATCTATGACCCCTGTTACACAGGCCAGTTGAAATGCTTCGTTACGAAGCAATTTGACAAAAAGCTTCGTAACGAAGCAATTTTGGGCCTTCGTTGGAAAAGCTTAGTTGATAACGAAGCAATTGAGTAGAAAATTCAACGAAGGTTAGCTCCCAACGAAGCTTTGTTGGCCTGTGTAACAGGTAGCTTCGTTAGAAAATGCTTAGTTGGCGGTTTGCGCATGCGCGTAATAAAGAGCACATTCATCATTTTGTATTAAATGAGAGGAATCGCGAGGAAAGAACATGTTTTTAAGTACGTATTATTATAATGCTA